AAAAAAAAACACATCATAGTAAAATTAATACCTTCTCCGCTTCGCATCGAAGCTAAAAAAAAAAATATATTTATATATATATAAAATTGCACTCTTAAAAGGGGAAATAATATTTTTTAATTTTCCTGATTACCCCTTTTATTTCCTGCATATTTTTTCAAAACAACAGTATGTTATTTAAAATAATAAGGCAAGTAATCCTATAGCAATACAAAAAAAATAAATCTTTAAAAAAATTCTGAAAATAATAAAAATGTTATTGTCAGAGCTGTTGATATATGTACAAAAAAATTATTTAAAAAAATTATAGGTATGACTCTAATTAATCAAGCTTACCATCCTCTAGTTTGATCTATTCCTTCTGCAATAAAATCTGCAGGAAATCTTTCATAGAATTCTTTTTTATTTTCAAATGGATAATGCTGTTGGGCATATGGCATAGAACCAGACTCAAACCAGCAATCAAAAACTTCATTAATGCGTTGCAAAGGTGGATATCCAGGTCTAGTTGATGGTATTGTCAATTTGTCAACTCTAAAGTGTACACAAATATATCATTCAATTTTCATTTTATTAAAAATAAATAAAATATTATCAATATAGTTTTATATACAATTAAAATATACTACAAATTATTTATACTTTTTATGCCAACATTTATTTATATACTACTGTGATGTTTATAGTTGCTTTATTTTTGACTAATACTACACATTTCAATTAAGAATATTTATAGATTTACTGTAATATATGGTAAAATTTGTTTTGTTAAAACAGAATTTTTTTAAATTTTATTACTCTATTATTAGATGAGATATAATAAAATTTATAAATAAAACAACATATGTAGATAATTTTTTATATAATTCACATAAAAATATGGAAAACAAGAAATATAGTAAACTATTTATCATATAAATACATACATTTTTATAATTTTTGTTATTATTTTTAAAATTAAAGTTTATTCCTTACACTTCTCGGTGTAAATCCGTTACAAGAACTCCAGTCATTTTATGTAAATGTTCAATACTACTAATACATACAATTTCTTTGCCATCTTCTGATACCCATAGGGGTATAGGTGTACCCCAATAGCGATTTCGACTAACTGCCCAATCACGTGCATCTTTTAACCAATTTCCAAAACGTTTTTCTTTAACAAAATTTGGTACCCTAAAATTTTTTTATTTAAAACATCTTCATAAAACACATAAAATAACTTGTTACCAATATGTTGCTTTGTTGCATTCTAAAAGACTATGACTCATATGTTGCACTCGAACAAACCAAGATGGCACAGCTTTATAGATTAAAGGTGTATCGGAACGCCAACAAAATGGATAACTATGTTTTACTGAAGATGCATTTACAAGTCTTCCTGTTTCTTTTAAAAATTTAATAATATTTTTATCGGCATCCTATAAATAGTGAGATTTAGAATAGCCAATATGTCTTTTCTAAGTGTTTAGAAAATAAATATTTTAACTTATACTTTCACATATTGGCCTTCAAATTCTTTAACTGGAGATATAAATCTGCCACTTTCATCTACAGGACACACTATATCTTGATCTCTAGTGATAATTCCTGCAGCTAAACAAACACGATAATCATCTTCTCCAAAGTACGGTGCTTGATGAACAATTCCAGTTCCAGATTCTGCAGAGACATAATCATCAGTTAAGATGATAAAAGCTGATTTTTGAGTCTACAAAAAATTTACAATTCACTTGATGATTTATAGTATATTATTTGTTTTTTTTTTAATTTAAAAGTACATTATTGATAAATTTTGCTCCTATAATTTAATCAATAATTTTTTTTATAAAAATTTACAAATTAAAATTTGATTTATTTTTAGGAACCATATTAAATTTTATGTTTTTTGTAGTATAAAATTATTTCTATAAGTAAATTTAGAAGTTACCTTTTAAAATTAGAAAGGTATATGTTGATATATGTTAATTTCTAACTGGTGTACCTTTACTTTAATTAAGGTATTATAAGATATTATACTTTAATAAGGCAAGAGAGGAAAAGGTACATGATGTATACTATGAGATAATAAGTAAAGATTCTGACCACATCAGCACTAGTGTTTTTTTGACTATTTATTAGCAATGAGATATTTAACTTTTAATTATTATAAAAGACAAAGTATAGAACACATAAAAATATTGTTTTTGCTCACATGAAAAGTAGTAAAATTGTTGCTTGTTCCATTTTGCCTTTAACCTGTCAATTATATATATATAATTTTTTTTCTTTTAAATGTAATGTAATTTGCCATCTATTAATCACCCAAGAAGATGGACAAAGGAAAGATTCTTAAAATCATCATTATCTCCTTAGTCTCTTCCTAACTATTTTTGGATTAGCACTACCTTATTGATTCGACAGAATTTTTACATCAGCTATCGACCTGACGCAAACTTATTATAGCTGAGGAAACCAGTATAGTGGCAAGGTGTGTCACTGTTAAAGTTTTTAATAAAAATGAAATGAAATAAAAGAAATAAATGGAGAATAAATTAAAAAAAATTTGGCTGGTCAAAAACAAATTTTGTAGTATTACTTTTTGAGTTAATTTTTAAATATATACAAGAGAAGAATTCTTATCTATGTGCCCTAGTAAAAATAGTGTTACTAAACACTATTCCACTCCTCACTTTTTTATATCTTTATATATTAATATATCAAAAAGTATAATTATAAAACTAATTATCGACCAGCCAAAATTTTACTTAGACTATCCTCCAATTAATAAAAATAATAATAATAGGTTCCTTTTTGACTTTTAAAAGTTACTCCTAAAATTTAACCTTGGAAATAATTTTTCCTTATAATAATAATAAACTTCATATTTTTTATGATTGATAAAAAATAATTAAAATCTGTCAATAATAAAAAAAAAAAAAAATCTTTATTACTTTATTTTTGACGAAAAAATAAAGGATAGTATTCTTAATAAATCGTACTTTATATATATATATATATAATAAAAAAGGCTTACGTGTACAAAATAAGGAAAAAGTGGTTTATATTTTAATCCTTTCAGTTTTTCTCCAAGAAATGTATCTAGTACTATATAGTCTTCTTTTTTTTTAAACAGAACTTCTAATCTAGCTTCCATTAATATATAAATTTTACCATTCAGATCTTTTATTTTAACATAAATCAAATTAGAGTTGACACACAGTGCTAAATTGCTAGGTAAAGTCCATGGTGTTGTAGTCCATGCAATTAGGGAAGTTGAAGGATCAGATTCTAGTGGAAAGCTTACCATTACTAAAAACAATAAATAAATATTTACTAAAACTAAAAATTAAAATGAGATTTAAGTTATACCATTTTAAAATAACTTAAAATAATACTAATATTAAGGTCAAAAAACTATGTGTATAGATTTGATTTTCATTTTTATCAAAAATATTAAAATGAATCAAAAAAGAAAATATTACATTTTAAAGCTGAGTGTCTACTAGACAGTCAGTCAGTACCATGTGGCACAACACTACAACAAAATAGATATAATTGCTGTTTACCATTGCTCAGGTGATTTTTCAAGATTAGCGTCATATCATCAACCTAGTGGACACTCAGATTTACGTTTTTTTTTTGTATTTCATGGATTATGTTTTTAAAGTATAAATGCTTAATTTTATAAAAGATTCTATTTTATAATTTTTACATACTTACTATAAAGTAAACAGACAAAAAAAAAAATAATAATAAGAGAGCATTTTTTTTTTTAAAATATTTTCTTTATTTGAAATAGTAAAATAGCTATATTTTTAACTCTATACTTTTAAAAAAATTGATGTGTTAATAACAACTTGAAGATGAACACTTATTGTGTTACAAGGATTTTAATTTTTAAGTAAGTAGCTCAAGGCAGTGTATATGTAAACCAGTATGAGGATCACCAATTTACTTTATATAATAAAATGCTTTTACATTTTGTCTTTAAAGAAATTTATATTTTTGATGCAGTATCTAACTCAATAAGTATTTTTCCTAGAGTTGTTATAGACACATCAAAATGTTTTGTAAGTTAAGTTCTAAAAAACAACTATTTTGAAATTTTAAATAATTAAAATAACAAATAAAATTTATATTTAAACAAAAATAAACGTATAGTAAAATTTATACCTTGTAAGCTTCAAATCGAAGCTAAAATATAATTGTAACCTAGTTCAAGAATGCATAAATTACTTTAAGAAAAATTCTTTTAAGTAATTTAAAGTTGTTATATTTATCAAAACATTATGGATCACCTTGTATGCCTTTGTATATTGATATATCTATTTATTCTTATATTAGAAAAGTTAAAAATTGGCTATTTTACATTTCAAAAAAAATGTAATTAAAATGTTTATTCTTATTTAATACACAAATGATAAAAAATATTCTTTAAATGTTCAAAATTAAATTTATTTGAAAAAAAGCGACATAAAATATTTTTAATTTAAAGTCATTAATGATGTCAAACCTGGTGGAAAATCTTGTAAAACAAAATATATAACTTTCCACATTTTTGGAAGTACAAATTTTTTTTTTGGGGGGGGGGGACTATGACTACTACCTATCAGTTAGTATCACCAATGGTTAACACAAAGAGAATTAATACAACTCAATATGTAATTTTATTTTTAAAGAACCTAATAATGATATTAACACTAAAATAGAATAGGTACTTCATTTTCTATATTAAATTTCAATCAATATAAAAATGTTTCTCACCAGCTGGGTCAACTACTTCTTTATAATTTTGACCAGATTCAAAATTTGATAAAGGTGTACTGCAACCAGTTGAATAAGGCATAACTTTAACACCACGGTACACCAAACCCTTGTTCCAAAGTTCACTAAAAACCCACCAAACACTCTCCATAAACCATGGATATAATGTTTTATAATCATTTTTAAAATCTGTAAAGAATAATTAATTTCAAAATATTATAAAATAATACTATAATAAGATTGTAATGAGACCTACTATGAGGTGTGTTCAGAAAAAAACAGGAATTTTTGTTTTTTGAAAAAAATATTATATATTCATCTAAATTAATGTTGTAGTTTTTTAAAAAGTCTCCATTAGATATTATGCACTTGTTCAAACGCTACTTCTAATCCTTAATCTTTGGGATAACCTTCAACTCATTCAGCGGTGCGCTTTTAGTGTCATCTTAATTATGTTTGTAAAATGACCGCCCTTTAAGGTTCTCTTTATTTTTGGAAATCGAAAAATGTCATACGACGCCATTCCTGGTGAATATGAAGGCTGGGCATCGTTACAGTATTGTTTTTGGGCTAAAATTGATGAACAAGCAATGAAGTGTGAGCATGGTGAAAGAGTTATGGATTGTTTTGCCACAAATTTGGACTTTTTTTTCATATTACTTTACGCAAACGGTATCGACCTTGTGGCAAAAATTTATGATGCACTATGCCATTAAAATCAAAGAACACGGTGAGCATAACCTTCACATTCTATCGCACTTGTCGAGCCATTTTTTGGTCATGGTGATCTAGAATGTCTCCACTGGAACAATTAAGTCTAAGTTTTGACATCCTATCTATAAACCCATGTTTCGTCACTTGTTATAACACGTTTCAATAATTCTGCATCATCGTAGACTTTATTAAGTGACTCCTGAACAACTTCCATTCGCCACTGTTTTTGTTCAAAATTCAACAATTTTGGAACAAATTTTGCTGCTATGCGATTTTTACTCAAAATATTCAAAAAAATTTCATGGAAGGAGTCTTCAATATTCTAACATCATCAGCGATTTCTCAGATTGTATTTAGGTGATTGTTCACAACTATTTCTTTCATTTTTTCCACGTTTTCTTTGGTTGTTGATGTGCTGGGGCGTTTGTTGTCTTCAAGATCATCTTGGAAACACTTATACCACTCATTAACCCTTGTTTTACTAATGGCAGACTCACCATACGTCTTTGTCAACATTTCACACACTTTGTTACTTTTTATTTTATTTTTTACGCAAAATTTGATAAAAATCCTTCTTTGATCCACTTTTTTTTAACAAACAAAAATCGCCAAGCTCATAAAAACACGTGTACCTTAACGGCTGCCACTGACAAAGTAAAAAATGAATCCAGCTGAAAATTTTATCATACTTCAGGGACATGTGTACTAACATTATGAAAAAAATATTTGATAATTGGACCTATGAAATTTAAAAATTCCCATTATTTTCTGAACCCATCTCGTACCTTATATGAATCAGTGTTGGGCAGTTTACAAAAATGTAAAGCAGAAATTAAGCAAAGCTGAGCAATTTAGTCAATTTTTTTCACTAATTTAAGCTAAATTACTTTAATATAAAAATGAATCATATTAGAATAGAAGTTAGTTTGTAATATTCTCTGAATTTTTAACATAGTAAGATGTTAGTTTGTTGAAAATAGTAATTTAAGTTAGAGTAAAAGTTAGAAGTTACTTTTTTTTCTAAGTTTAAAATATAAATTTAAAAACGGATTTGTTTAAATGTATTAGTTTATATTATCTGTATAGCTATATAAATTATAAAATAATGTAGCCTTAGGTATAATATAATAGCTGTTATTAAAATAAAGAAGAGAAGAATATGTATTGATCGTTGACTTAATACTTGTCAGTCGTCATGTATGTGTGTAGTGTTTCCATAGTTCTAAAATAATCTCACATGGCAACATTATTAATAATATAGATAAATGGCTAAACCCTTCGATTACATTATTATAAAAATTCATCATTGTATAAAAAATTATAAAAATATAAAATACATAATATTAATCATTAAAACATTATAATTAGTTGTTTTTATTTCTTACGAGTTAAAGTAGAGTTATTTTACACATTCAATTCAACTAGATAAATTAGAAAGTTATTATATATTAAAACTAACCAGTTAAATTAAAAAGTTACTTTCTAATTTAATTTTGAAAAATTACTAATTAGTTAGTCCCTAGCTTTGAGAATAATTGTAGCACAGATGAGAATGTTTGGATGGATAAGTGTAGTGATGAGAAAACATAAGTAAAGAATGAATATGTAAAAGAAAGCATAGGAGTAGCATTATTGTCCAGAAGATATGGTTTACATGGTTTGGTCAAATTAAGAGGAGAGAAATCAGAAGCTGAAAGAACAGTTATGGAAATAACCGTTCTAACAGCTACTGAAGAAAGATGAAGATTAAAAAAGAAGGGATTGAATGTAATTGGAGGTGATATGAGGACTGTTGATATATATATATATATATATAGATGTGGGAGATGTCAAGTGGAAGTTTAAGATAAAGGTGACAGACGATCCTAAGTAATTGGAATAAAGGTAAGAGAGAATAAGAAGATCATAAAATAATAATAAATAAGTAAATGAATACCAATCCAACGTCCTAATCTATTAATAATTTTTTCCCAATCACTGGCATAACGCATCACAATTTTTCTACATTCAGCATTATATTTTTCAATACCCATTTTTGCTACATCTTCAGGTCCTTTAATTCCTAGTAACTTGTCAATCTCAAATTCCTAAAATCAACCAATAAAAAATGTTAGTAATAAGAGGAAAAAATAAATAAATTATAATCAATTTGGGTTTGAATAGAAGGTAAAAAATGATTTTTAAGATAAATTTTTATTTTTAATAAATAAATAAATAAATTTGGAAGGTTTCAATAATTTTTTTGGATTTTACATTAGTAAATAAATTTTTTATTTTTCAATGATTAAATAGATTGATCTATAGATTGAATTAATAAATTATGTAATACATGATAACTTAATTTAAAGTAGGTAGAAAATAAAATTATTTTAATAAATATGTTAAAGCGTTGAAAGATTTTTGTATTATTTTTAGATAATCTTATGGCTTCAGTTTTTGTACATTTTAAACTGCATAATATACTTCAAACTAGTATAAAACTAAAGATATTGATTTATTATTTTAATTTATTTCAGTAAGATAAATAATGAGATTTCTTTAAGAAACTGTTGAAGTATTAATAATTACTAACAACAGGTAAACCATGTGTATCCCATCCAAATCTTCTTTCAACATGATGTCCCGTTTGATGAGCATATCGAGTAACTACATCTTTAATAGCACCTGCTAATATATGACCATAATGAGGCAGTCCAGTTGCAAATGGAGGTCCATCATAAAAAGTATATCTATCATGAAATATTTATTTAGTAATAAGTCGTTACATAAAACCTATAAACAGGAATTGTTATGAAATTACCGAGGTTTTCCTTTAGATTGCTTCAAACATTCTTGAAAAACATTTATTTCATTCCAAAATTTCAAAATTTTCTCTTCTTCTTTCGGAAAATTTAAATACTCAGCAGCGGGTTCTACCATAGTAGAATAGCTCATAATTTATTACAGTATAACATAAATTGGAAAAATTTTGCAAGTAGCAATAATAATGCTTTCGTGGTGATTACGAAGTTTGATGTAATAATGGGCCAAATGAAATATAATAAATTAATATCAATTATCACTGAAAATATTATAAATTAAAAAAATTTAATACCATAACCTCAAAAATTATTACTTAAATTTCACTGTTATATCAATAGAGTAATACTTAATTACTTTACGGATTATCTACTTTGTAGATAACCGTGATGATATAATCACAGATAATAATAATAATGACCTATTATTTTCATGTGATATTAAAATATTTTTATTAATTCCATGGTAAATCCATAGTTATATGAGATGGGGTGCATGTAAAAACTTTTTTTAATCAGCAGTCGTTAAAAGAGATGTAAACAAATTGTTTATTAAAACTTCTATCAATTTTTCAACATAACTCTTTTCATATTAACTTCAAATGTAAAATTATGCTAAAACTGTTTTAAACGTGATAAAAATTTAAAAAAATAAAAGGTTGTTATTAGATTTTTATAATTTTCCAAATTGTTTTTTATGGCAAATGTTTTATTTCATTAATTTTTTCTATAAAGTTGTTGCTAATAATATTTAATTTAGTCTGTAAATATTTATTTAACTTAATCAACTTAGATTAAAAATGCAAGATTCTAAAATTAATACAGAAACCAAATCTGTTGAGGGTAGTGCATCATTATGGATTTTAAATCGCTTGAAAAACAAAAATGATACAACATTGAAAACATTTACTCTAAAATTTGGGCCGGTATTTTAATTTTTTTTAAATTTTAATTACTAAAATATTTTTTTTATATATTTAAAAGAAAAATTTGGTGTAACTTCAATTAATCTAGATATAATAGAATGACTAAACATGCCTATAACTATTTATACAATTATTATTTTGTTAAATCTTATTTTTTATAATTATTGCCTTTTTAGACTGTTTATAACATTTTTTTTTATTATTTATCATTAATAAGAAAAATAATAAATTTTTTTTATATTTTTATGATAAAATAATAGGCATTCTTTAACTATCTTTTTTTTAATATTAATGGACTAATTACAATTCTAGAACAAGTACTCATTGAGTTACAAGCATATAGAATGGATATGTAATGACAAAGGGTGCAGCTTATACTAGTTTACATATACTTTGTCCTTGTTCTAGACCTAATTTGTATAATAAAATGCTTTTAACTCATAAGTACTTATCCTAAAATTGTAATAAACTCAACAACATTTTGTAAGAAAAAATGGCTTTAATGAAATTTTGAAAAAAAAAATAAAAAGTATTACTTTATTTTAGCTTTGATACAAAGCTGAGAAAATATAAATTTTACTATGATGTGTTTTTTTTTTTATGTCTCACCATTTTTCTCAGCTTTCACCAAACCGATTTCAAAAAATACGTCAAAAGATAACAAATTGTATCTGATTATAGAAATTGCTCATAAAAATTGAAAGAATTTCCCTTCTCTCTAAAAATAGGAGAAATCTCCAAAAAAATAAAATTTGTAAATTTTGACATTTATTTCCTTTTTTTTTTGTTTTTAGAAACTTTACATATTTTCCTTCATTTGATATAAAGTTTTTGAAAACCTGTCTATTTAACTGCCCACAGAAGAGGATTTAAAATAGCAACTTTTTCATAAAAGTCATTTTTTCCAACTTAAAAATGACAAAAAATTAATTTTTGAAAGTGTTTTGGAAATATTACATCCTTTAAAAATACGTTAAATTAATGCTTATGTTACATACTATAAATTAAAAAAAAAATTTATCCTGACAATATCTTCTATGTACAAATGGCTGCCGTTGTTAAAAACATACTATTTTTTTATTAAACTGTTCAATTTTTAATTTTACATTTTTAACTTTAAATTGCTATAACTTTTTTAAAATGTATGAATCAACACAAACTTTTGTTTTTAAATACTTTTTATATAGTACTTTCATCCGACATATTTTTTTTTAAAACAGACAATTTCCCTTTACATAATTTCAAAACTTGACATATGTATAAGAAGTAATTTTNTAGTACTTTCATCCGACATATTTTTTTTTAAAACAGACAATTTCCCTTTACATAATTTCAAAACTTGACATATGTATAAAAAGTAATTTTTTTCAACTTTTAAAAATGTTCTGAAAATACTGGGTGTTTAAATATATGTTAAATTAAAGCTTATGTTACATACTATAATTTTAAAAAAAGAATTTGTCCCGACAACCTATCTTTAATGTGTAAATAGCCATCAAAATTGAACAAATTTATTAAATATTTAGTCATATATTACACTTATATATTATAAAACTTGTAATTATGATATAAATAAAGAAATAAGAGTTCCTTTTACTTTTGTAATAACTCACCAATCTCCTAAAAATTAAACACTATCTACACATTTGCATCAAAGTATTTTTTCTGATAGTGATTTTAATCACTGTCAGATATCATCTATACTTGTCCCAACTATGCCACATCCACACTTTGCTGTGACCCTACTATGCTACCTTTTTTCTTTATTAGTAATAAATTATTAAAATATAGTCTAAAAAGAAATGATATTTGGATCAAAAGTTATCTTAAGTATTGTCTATTAAATCTGAGACAGTCTTTGTTAAACTGAAATTTCACAAATTTACATCTTTTCACATTTAGTGGTTTCTATTTATTTATAAACGGGCGTGGTGGTCACACTAGTTGTTGACAAAACTCTAGTGGTAAGCCGCGCCTACCACCATAGATACACGGATGGGTGACCATGCGTGTGCTTCTACGGTGGCGTAAAAGCACCATGTTCCCAGTACAGAAGGCAACAGGAATCTACTGCACTTAATTTCCCCAGGATATACCAATCCAGATGGTATTAACCAACCAAATGGTTGTAAAAAAAAAAAATTTTAAAATGTAAAATAATTTTGCCTTTCAAAGAATTTTTATTTTGGATGCTATGTGTGTGTAAAATCAATAATTACTCATCTTAAAATTGTTATTGACCCATCAAAATTTCAATTATGTTCTTGTAGTTTATTATGTATGCAATTAAGATAAAGATAAAAAAATTAAAATACTTCAATCATAGTTATTGAAAATTAAAATCATCTGTTATTGTTTTCAGAATACAATTGGTAGAGCTCTACACAATGACATTATTTTGGAAAATGAAAATATTTCTAAAAGCCACTGTCGAATATGGATTGAAAATAACAATATACCAATTTTAGATGAAATAGATGTCAGTAATTTGAAATATTAATTTATTAATAAAAATGAAATATGGGATGTGTTTCATTTTAATTAGAGTCATATTTATCACCTGTAAAAATATAATTTATGCCATTATACCTAATATCACACTGAAAAAAACTTTGTCAAATCAATGAATTTATTTTTAATATGTAATTGACAGTTTTTTTTATTAAATAATTTTGTTTAAGTAAAAATCTGTGGTGTTCAGCTAAAGAGGTATAAATATAAAATTGCAACTTCTGAAAAAATAAAATTAAAACTTAATGTTTATATTTGGTAACAATTAATACTATTTCTCACATGTAAAAACATACAAAATAATGTTATTGTGTTTTAAAATAAAAATTATATTTCTTGTTAGTTACAGTTTCATTTTTCCAAAAGTTGCAGTTTTAGACTTATCCCCTTTTGCTTAAACACTGCAGAAATAATATATCAACTAAACAAATGTGTTGTTTGAGTAAAAAAAATTAATTTAACAAAAATAAAAATTGTTAGCGTTTATATAAACAATCATTTTAACGTTTTTTCTGTGTAATATTACATTTATTTTTTCTATAACTGGAATTCTTTAAAATATCTACTAATTTAATGTTTTTTAAAAATATAAGAAATATATAGGGAGGTTTGCTAAGTAAAGAAACAGGTTTCTATTGTTTTCATTATTTGTAACAATTTACATGTGTCCTTATTGAACACTATATATAAAATCTTATCAATTAAGAATATTATTTCACACTAAATCAATTGAAAAGTAATCTTCGAATTTGATAAATGTTTAATAACTTAAAAGTTATGTGTTAATATTATACTAAAATAACTTTTAAATACATATTTTTTTAGCTAGTAATAAATACTTAAAATTACTTACTAGTTACTCTATAGTATAAATAACTATTTTGATTTTAAATAATATTTTAAATTAGTATCAAAGTTTGAATTCGTACCCTTAAGCTGTACAGGTTTTCCAGTCCTCTCTGAAACAATAATTAAGTTTCTTAGTTGAAAGGTTATTAAACATATAAAAATACATTTTATCTACATTAACCTTAATTATTCATTGTAAACAAAATTTTTTATCTATTAAACTAACTTTTCTAGAGTCGCAATGGAACATATGTTAAAGATACAAAAATTGAAAGACTTGAACGGTATAAGTTAATCGATAATGACATAATATATCTTTCAGGTGCCACACTAGGTGTCACACTTCAAATATGTACAACATTTAAGGTACTTATAATAATAATAATAATAATTCATATTTTAGATATATTATTTGAAGATATTGAAGAAAAATGATAAATAACTTATTTAAATATGTTTTTAAAAGAAGAAAAAACTTTACAAACTGACAAACAAAAGAAAAATTGCAATTACTAAATTAATAAAGTGTATAAATATTAAGTTGAGTTATCAAATCAACTGATATTACTAACAATGTGAATAATATCATTATTAGGGCTAGGAACTATAAATTTTGTTAATTTATTCTGAACCCCATTAGCTGTATCAATTTTTATTAGTTGATCATCTCATATTCTGTGATATGCCTTAAAATGGTGATACAATAGAACAGTCATACAAGGAGTTTTGGAAGTCAATGTTGCATTCTGAATTTTAAAAAATTGAACGACTATTTCTAATATATTTTTTATTCTAATTCAACCCTATTAGTTTTAAAAAGTTCGTCTTTGATCATAAAATATTTTATGATATTTTAGTAAAAAAACCCACATAATCTATTTTACATTAATAAAAACTCATATTCAATTAGAAGTTTTGGTAGTGAGGGTTGTAAGTTTTGCATTAGTTTTTTTGTTAATGAAGTGAAAAATCTAAGGGGAAACCTCTTGGTCCTCCCTCCAGGCATTCCTGCTTAAACAATTAATAATAATAAATTGATTATTATTTCTTGATATTTCCTGCTTTCTGGTATTATTTACTGATATTAACCTTAAATAAACTAGATTTCATATTTCACAAAATTAATATCTTATTTTAATTTATAGGTTGATAAAAAAACAAACACTTCTTTAGTATTATCAGACTGTAATGTAACTAAAAAACTAAAACGGTCAAGTATGTGCATTTTGTTGAAGAATCTTCTAGTTATAAGTAGAGAGAAAATTTAAATGTATTAATTAGATTATTTTTAGCCATTTAGTAAAATCACAAGTTAGTCCATACCAGTTGTATGGTGTTAGAATTAAATAAAATATTATGTAATAAGAACTTTGTTTTTTCTCAATAACTAAAAAAAAACAAATGAGGTATCAGCCAATTTAATAAACTCTCTCAATAACACTAGCAAACAATCCTGATACACATTTCAGTTTTAGCTCATTGTAAAAATAAGTTGGAAATCTTTCTATCAGTAATGTTTTGGAGGGTATATGATGTATACTCCTCAATAACAATTTTTTTAGTTCATTGTTCTTTTTTATTAAACTAATAAAACTCCCAATTAATTATTTATAATTTTACAGGTGATGAATTAAAATCTGATTGTATTGATTCTACTTTTGACAATAAAAACCAAAGGGGTTTTGATAATAGTGCTCCTATCATAATGCCTTTGGATGTTACAAATGAACCAATTAATTTAAAAGAAATTTGGGCTACAGAATGGGCCTTGAAATTTATTGAACATATGAATACAACAGAATCAGGTGATAGTGATAGTTTAGAATCCTGTTGTTTGTCAATAAATAATAGTATATTGAATGTTGAAGAAAAAAATCAAGATAACAATAATATAAAAATTAAATATAATCAAGTATGATGAAGACTTTTGATTTTAATTATTATTTTGTATTTAATTTTTATGTAATCATGGTCACCGATTGAACAATTTACAATGATTATATATGTAATAGAATTTGTTGCCTTGTATTTTTGCTTATACAATTATTGAACTTAAATTTTGATACAACTAAAAAATGAACATCTTTGAAAATGTAATATACAAACAAAAGAAAGACAGTGAGCCATTTGTTAGGTCAACAAACCTAATTAAAGACTCACTGTGTATTTTTTGCTCCTATAGTATTATACATTTACTTAGACTTGTAAGGTGATGTATGGTTAAAATAACTCTTGTAACACTTTAGTAACATATGTAAAAGATAAAAAACACCTATATTTGTATATATGAGGTACTTAATATCAAATTGCTTTACTATATTCCTTTTCAGTATTTAATTATTCTAAACATTATAAAATACTGAAAGTTATTAAAGAATAATTTATTTTATCCTTAAGTGAATTTTAATTAGAACACATAATGCTTATTTAACTAAATTTCAAAGCTAATAAAACGTCCAATGTCATTGTCTATATTATTAAATATATATTAAATGTTATAGAAAAATAATAAAATATTTAATAATCAAAATCTTCCTATAACTTGTTCAACTTCATTTGATATTTTGAATAAAGATGAATCATCAACATCTATTGAACTTCATCAACACCATAACAATTCAGAAATAGTTGGTAGGTGTGACATTCATGATTTTAATTTTTAATATTTTACAAATATATTATTGGGTTTTAGTTGAAACTATAAATCAAAATAATGAAATGGTAAATTCAATGGACAAAACTTCAACAAATCAAAATATATTAAACTCTTCTAATAATAATATTAATGTTAAATTATCCACTATAAATGATTATCTTCTTGAAGCAATAAGTTATATTTGTAAGTGGGATGCCAAATGGCTACAGGTGTGTTAAAAAATTTATTAAGCATTAAATTTTTCAAGAGTTTTTTTTATTTAAATTAAAATAACATTATTATACAGTAGTCACCTAACATATTCTATATTACTGTTAATTATATGATGAAAAATAGTGTTATTTATTTATAATTATAATTAAGTTTTAAAAAATGTCAATATTTATGATTATAGATTCAGTAGAGATTGCCATAAATTTTCAGTGTTCCATAAAAGTTATTAATAGTATTTATTTCAATTTATATTTATTAAAATGTTAGTTTAGTCCTTCTAATATACAGAGTGATTCGTTAAGCAGCAAGATACACTAACTTTCTTGGAAACTAATGAACATTTTTAATTTTTGTAAAGGAAAATAATTCAAACATTATAATATATGGTCCATTAAAACAGATTATTGTTGCTTACAGTATTATGAAAACCAAATTAAAAATAAATTTCATTTCTAAATCTAAATTTTGAAATAATTTTGAAACTCAATTTATTAATAAAACAAAATTGTGCAAACAAATTTTTTTTTTCTCTCACATCATCAAACTAAAAATAAAAATTTCCATTGAAGAAAATTATTTTCGGATTTTCATTCTTCATGAGAAGAAAAAAGTAATTAAACAACATATTATTGTAGTTTTTTGAATAAAACAATATTATCCTTTGCAAAAATTAAATATGTTCAATAGTTTCCAATAAAATGAATATCTTTTCCATAATGAGGCATTCTGTATATATTATTTACATGAATATATTTTTATCATTTTTTGTAGAGGAGACTATCTCCTAATTATTAAGTGACCTATAAAAAAACTGTTTTAACTTATGTAAAATAAAACAGGAATCTTAATGCAAACTCATCAAGGCTAATAGCCTTTCCTCCTACAGAATTTTTTAAAAAAAAAGGAACATATTATCACTTTAAAATAACAACTTAAATAGATCTATTTTCAACAATTAATATTATTTTTCGGATGAAACATCCTTGTTCAATTATGATGACCAATTTTATACCTAATCATTTATCATTATTATTTTTTATCTAAATAAATTAAATAAAAATTAAAACTATTTATTATTATAGTGTTAAAATAATGATAAATACACAAAAAAGTATTTTTTTTTTATTAAAAAAAATTAACAATATTTCAATTGAGTTCTATATTTTTTTTAGCTTTGATGTTTTTAAAATTATAATATACATACATATATATATATATAATTAAGTTAATTTTATAATTTAATGTTTATTGATAGAAGTATAAAATCTCTGATCAAATGCCACCATTGGTTAATGCTATACAGAAGATGAAGAGTCATTTTGAAAGCCTTCAAGACTATTTATTAACTTTAAAATCATTATTTTTGTATGAAATTTGGTCAAGTATAATGCAATCTTATCATTTGCTAGAAAAAAAAATTCCTAGCTTGGAATCTTTTATCTATGCAGAATCAGCTAGGTAAATTTTTCATTTAATTGATTATGACATCTTTAAATTATAATTTTTACAATTTGTTGTATTTAACATAAAAATAAATTTTTTTTTAATTTGTTATTATTTTTTGGGACTAATTTAATCTTCCTACCTATGTTTAATGTTATATGTAGCAATACATAACTTTTTTCTTAGTTTATGGTTATTTAACTTCAATTTCTTCAGATTGAAAGCTAATTAATTGGTGGTTAGTTTTTATGCAATCAAACTTTAAAAATAAATGTATACACATTTTAATTATAATTATTTATTTTTATTTGAAATGTATAATTTTAATTTTAATGCAAAGCTAAGAAAGTATTAGTTTTACTATATTGTGCTTTTATTTATTTTTAAATATTTTGCCATTATTACTTATTCTTTATTAAACCGATATATTTTATCAATCATCTCTGTATTAAAGGAGAATGTACTCAGTGCAATATACCCGAGTGGCACTAAAATTTGATGTAATATAAATTACATTGTGGTAGACACTTTTTCATTTTATTTTTTTTTCATTCAAATAAAAAAAATTGTTTATAATGAACAAAATAAAAAGATTATAAAAACTGAGTATCATAAGTGACACATTTTCTAAATTTAGCCCTGTTATCAATACACCAAAAAGAATTAGAATTATACTTAGTTGAATACATTGTCTTTAAAAATTATCAGATTCCTACTATGTTGGATCTTAAGTGTACTTGGGTTTTTAAGTATGAATGATTAATTATTTTGATACAAATTTTTATTTTTATTTTTTATTGTTATAATTATGATTTACTTTTTTTTTTAATTTTAACCTAAAATAATCATTTTTTTTCTAAACCTTTTTAGTAACTCTCCTTTACTTAGATTAACAGTCAAATCTTTAGATAAGGAATTTACCTCTCTAAACAAAAATTTATCAACACCGCTATGGTGTTTAACATGTATTTGTAAGTATTAAAAATAAACTAGATTTAAATATAAATATTAAACAAATTTTACTTAAATATAGTAAAACTTGATCAAAAGCGAGACCATAATGTAAGATTTCCAGATTCTGGTGATCTTTTATTATTGACAACAGAAATTAATAAAAACACCAAAAATGTATTTTTTGCTTATACTGATGGAGTTTTAAACTCAATCAGTCATGAAGGTAATACTTCATTTATAAATTCAGTACTATTTTTAGAAAAAATCGTTGAAAATTAACATTTTATTTCAGGTATGAAAAAAAAACAAATTATTCTTTCATTATTAATCACTGAAAAGTCCTTTAATATTCTTGAAAATACTCCCGTTCAATGTTTGGTATTGTACAATTTATTTTGGTTATTTTTAATTTCATAATAAATAAATAATTTTATTTGTAGAGCTTATTTTATGTATGTGCTGAACTTCGATTATTTCAATCAATATGCAGTGTTTCTATATCCCCATTGCATAATGCCATTGCAATGCCTTCTTTACACAAAAATACAAATCCTACTTTTACTTTTATATCTGATGTTATGAAAAAAAATATGGTTAGTATAACAAAACATTTCTTTTTATATTTTTTAATGTTTAAAAATACAATTATTTTTTTAAACCTTTTTGATAGATATTTGTATAATTAATTAAAACTATTAACTAACACAAAAATTTTATATTTTCTACAATGTTTTATTTAAAACGGTAGCAAAGTGAGATTGTGGCACAGTGAGGATGTGCCATAGTTGAGACAAGTATAGATGATATTTTACAGTAATTAAAATTATTATCATAAGAAACGTTTAATGCAAATCTATAGACAGTGTTTAATTTTAAGAAATTTGTAGATTACTCTAAAAGCAAAATTAACTTTTATTTCTTCCATTATTCCTAATTAGTAATACTATAATTTATAAATAAAATAACAATTTATTAACTTTTTTGAATCTTCCAATTTTTATACAAAAATTGTATGACCAAATAATGTCAGTATTTTTGGAATAATTTCAAAGTTAGTTGAAAAAGTTCTGTTTACTATACGCTTATTTGAAAAATTGAAAAAAAATAGATTATTGAATGAAAGAGGCATATAAAAAAATATCCATAAATTTTTCATAAAGTTATAGCAATTTAAAGTCGAGAATTTTAACATAAAAATCTTTTTTCTTTAAATTTGATCTCCATTTTTATCACAAAGACAAGTCCAGAGATTTTCAAAATATTTACATAAAATAAAAGGGAAATACCCAAGATTTCATAAAAAAAATATCTATTTTGATTATTCCTTTTTCCAAAAACTAATGACAGTTTAAAAAAAAAAATTTAAAAATGTCGAAATTTAAAGTTTTTAAAAATTGTAATTTTTTGGGAATTTCCTCCATTTACGGAGAATGAGTGAAATTTATTCAATTTTTGAGGGTAATGCCTTCAACTAAATATGATATGTGATCATATCGTTGAAAAAAATTGGTCCAGTGAGAGCAGAGAAAAAGTAGTGACAGACACAAAATATAAATGAACAAATTTTGGTAAAATTAATACCTTTTTAGCTTTGTATCAAAGCTAAAAAAAAAAATAAAAATATAAAGATTTATAAAATAAAGTAAACATTTTTTGTATATTAATTTTATTAATGAGAATTTCTCTTTTATTTATGCTATTCTAAAACATCGTAAAAAACATTGTTTTTTAGGAAAATTTAGATTGCAATCAAAAAAAAGCTTTAATGATTGGTGTAGGACTTGGCTTGTCACAAAATTCAGATATTTGTTTGATCAATGGATTTCCTGGTAAAAAAAATTACAGTTATTTTAGTGGCTAAGGATAATTTTTGATTACCTACAAATACACAGAATATTCTAAATTTATGCTAAATATATTATTATTTGTTTATACAAAAAAATGTTTTAAAAAGCATTAATGAAAGTTTAAACATAATAAGGGAAGATTGAAATTTTTTTTTTTTGTGATATAGGTACTGGAAAAACACATGTAGTTATAAATATTGTACAGTCTTTAATTTTAGCTAAAGTTTTAAATAAAAAAAGTACTAAAGTTTTGTTATGTGCTTCTTCCAACATTGCTGTTGATGAATTAGTACAAAGATTGTTATTTATTAAGGAAAAAACACCTCGTAAGTCATTATATATAAAATAAGTGTATAATATTAACTTTTAAAATAGCTAATTAGTTACTATTGTTATTTATTATGCATTTTAGATTTAAAAAACATAAATTTAGTTAAAGTTGGAAATAAAAATTCTGAAATATCTTTGGATTCGCTAGTTAATAAAAAAATAGCTGAAATAAATGAAGATTCTATGGTATGTGCAGTATTTAAATAACAATTTTTATTTAAAAATAACATGGAATATTTTTGCTTGAAAATGTAGTAAATCATTATTAATTATCATTCTTAATCATCATTAATTGCTTGTTATATTTGTTTATTGATAAAATATTTGTACAATATAATATANTAATTTATTAAAGATAAGATATGTGTAGTTTGATAATACTTAATGAATAAACAATAGTTTATGTCACAAAATGGGAAATTGAAGACTTCTGTTATTCTTAAAACTTATATATTAGTAGTAAATTGATCCAAATCATTTAACTTTAACACACTGTAACAAACAAATGATTGATGATCGAATAAAAAAAAATTTTAAAAACAAAATTATTTATAATTCTCTTTTCTATAATATTACTAAATTAAAAATAGTGATTTTCATTTAAGAAAATTAAAGTTTAAGATTTTTATCCTTGATTGATCAAAAAAAATTGTGTAATAACATATTTTTGTAATTTTTTGAACCAAATAATTTTTCTCTTTACAAAAATTAAACATTTGTAATAGTTACTGAGTAGACAAAATATCTTACCCAAAATAACCCACTCTGTATTTATTTACATACACCAGTGTTGTTCTGGGATCTTAGTAGTTTTCTTTAGGACCTTGCACATATAAAAAAACAGGTTTTCAACTTAATGTGAGATTTAAAAATGAGAAAGAAACTCAGAGACATTCACCCCTTAGCTTCCTATGCTATGCTGAAATTAATATACATTAAATATATATGGTTTGTGAATAATATTGTTATTTTGTTACTATATTGATGTTGACATTTTTTTTCAACTTTATATATTTAGGAATCTCTATATATAAAGTTTAATTCTTATAATTTCATACCATCCATTTAATTAAATTTTTAATTGCATTGGTTATATGCAATTGTTTATTTTCTACACATCTATAGTGTTTATTTGCCTTAGAATTTAGTTATTACATAAGGTCTGTTTAATATGAATGATTTAATAAATCTATTTTTATGATTTTACTTTATTTTAGCATCATTGTTAAATTTAATAATTTACTTTTTAGAAAAATGTGCAAAAATTACTATTCCAAAAAGAAATACAAACTGAAGTTCTTACTTCAGCTGATGTCATAGTTTCAACATTAAATTCTTGCCTAACAAAATCTATTGAAAATTTATTCATGCCTTTACTAGTAACGTAAGAATAATATAATAATTAAGGTTCATAACTATTTGCATTAAGTTTATTTTAGTCATTCAAGTATATCAATAAAAATAAATAGATATTCTTATATAATAAAATATATTAATATAATATATTCTTGTTTGTTTTTTAACACTAAACAATGTATTTTAATTAGATAAATGTAGTAAATTAGGTAACATAAATATGTTTGAAGGAAATATCACTGACCCTAGAACAAAAATGTTTCTGTGATACTATATATACTTTTAATAAATTTTCATGTAACTGGGTGTCGTATTTGAAGTGATCCTAACAATTTATATAAATGAATTACCTTCCAGTACTAATAATACTATATTATTTATTTCACCCCTTTACTTTTATTGAAATAGTGTTTTATAAAATTTTATTTCTTGAAATGTTTAATTTATTATAAAACAATGAAAAGATTATAAATATTTTTAACAGTAAATAGTTATGTTATTGTTGTGTTAATAGAAATTAAATACATGGGTATTTATTATTTCTCATAACTTTCATATTTCAGACTCACTATATTATTTATATAATTTATTAACATCTTTAAGTTTTATGCTTAATTAAATCTATCATTTAGGCATACCTAAATGCAAAGAGTGGTAGTTCAACTTCTTCTACATAAAAATTTTTTTAAATTTAATATTAAATTGTTAATTTTTAAATATTGTATCAAACAAATTGTAAATTTTAAATAAATAATGTAAACACATTTAAAGAAGTTGGGAATTTAAGCTTTTTTAATTTACAAGTCACCTGTAAAATCTACCCACATTGGATAATAGGACTAAATAAAACAATTTTAATTTAATTTTTACATTAAAACTTTTTTGATTATTTATGTATAATGTAATTTATTATACTTTATATCATATTATGATGAAGATCATATTGATGGTTAGAAGATAAATTTTAGTAGGTGATACATTTTTCAAAATTAACTTTTTGTAACTATGATATAAAATATACATTGATATGCATATGGGCACCTAGCTTAGTAGTTCAAGCACTGTATATGCTTGAATATACATAACATAATAGATAATCTATTGATAAATCAATTTTCAGGCAAAATATAAATGAACACAACTTCATATGCATTATTGATGATGCAGAACAATGCATTGAACCATTGACTTTACTACCTATATTATTTGGAATAAACAGATTGATATTAGTAGGAAATGATTCACTAGTTAAACCAATTGTAAAAAATCAAGTAAATACTTATATGATTGAATTGATTTAGTCAATCAAATTTTACTTTATTTCTATACTTTTTTCATTTATCTTTGTAAAAAAAGAATTTTCAGACAAAAAATACAAAACTTCTTTAAGTCAAAAACTTAAATATATTAATTTTTATTAAGAAGTTTTTTTTTTTAACCATGCAACCAACATTTTTTTAAATACAATCAAAGATGTATTAGTCAAGAATTCAGAGACAAAAAACTAAAAATTCCAATTTATTTATACATTATTCAAAAAAATTCCATCAATCTCTTACAAATGTTAAATTAATAATTGTTTAAAATAACATTTGATTTATAATTCTATTTTTGACTACATCTTATATTTTTTTTTTTATAGATTAGTAAAGATAATGATTTGAATATATCTCTTATACGAAGATTGAATTTATGGTTAAAAAAAAGTAAGAATGTTGAAGATAATTCTTCAAATATATCAAGAATCACATTAGACAGACAATATAGAACACACTCAAGTATTTGTAGTTTTCCTTCAACATTTTTTTATGGTAGAACAATTAAAAATACAACTTCAACATTTGAAAATTATCCTCTTCAGCGTTATTTATTATTAAATCACAAATTTATACATGACAATGTTGAGTAAGGATATTTTTAATTTATTCAAGAAGGCTCGTATTAAAAAAAAAATTTTGAGGTGGAAATTTTTTTATAATTTTATAGTAAATATTATTTTTCATGATTTTTAATTTTTAAATCCTTCTAAAAATAATATTTTCCGATGTCTTGTCTTCTGTAAGTAAATGGTCCTCAAAGTTTGACAAAAAATATAATTTTGGTGTAATAACCACCTTTTTTTATATAATTATTTTTACTTAAATTTTGTCATACCTTTTATGTATTAATATCGAAATCATTCATTTCAATAAAAATCACAGTTATCATTTCTCTGAAACTCTTGATGCTTAAATAGATGCTACAATTGAAATATTTAGATTCATATTCCGTAAAATTATATCTTATAGTACATTCTATAATATACTAATATTCAGAAATATTCCATGCCTAGTTTCTCCTATGATTTCGTCCGATATTGTGTTGTTGAATTTCATTTTTAACTTATATCTCTTTGGTTAAATTTTTATATACTAATACTCGTTTTTTACTAATTAGTAATAATATAAAAAATTAGAAGTGATAGATAAAATGTAATTGCAGATTTGAAATCAGTGCAAACATTTTAGGTTTAGAAAAAGTATATTTTTGTCATTGATGAAAATTCTTTATGACCCGTTTAAACCAAATTATTTTATACTATTTTCTAAAAAATGTTGCATCAAGCACTTTATAAACGTTTACTATAGAAGTAACAAAATATACAACTTCTTTTATCAATTTTTTAAAAAAATTTTATAACTTCTTTTATTAACTAAACTTTAAATTATTAAATATCAATTTCGTACTAAGATTAACTACTATAATTAAAACTATAAATTACTAAGTATTTATTTATATATTATACTTATAAATCATAAAACTACAATCAGGATATAAATAAATAAATAGAAGTTCCTTTTGCTTTTGGAATAATCCACCAATTTCTTAAAATTAAACACTATCTATAGATTTGAATCAAAATGTTTCTCATAATAATAATTTTATTTACTGTTAAATATTACACATACTTGTCTCAACTATGCCATGTCCTCACTGTTCTTCTGTTTTTTTAATGACAAGATTTAAGTTTATAGATGTCCCACTTTGTTTTTTATTATTTGTTTTTAGTTAAACTTTAGAATGGTAGTTTTTTTAAGCTTTCCTTACAAAACATTTGTATAGTATGTGTTATAAATATACACTAGTACGAGCTGTACTTATCCACGCTACTTCCCTTATCTATGTATTGAAAAGGATTCTAATTTAATAAGTACTCTTTCTAAAATTGTTATAATGTCATTAATATTTTTAAACAAAATTCTTTAATAAATAGCTATTTTGAAATTAAAATAAAAAATAAAAGTTTTTATTTTTATTTTTTTAAACAAATAATAAAAAATATGATTTTAATGTAGTCTAAGAATGCACAAATTATTTTTAAAAAAAAGTAATCAAAATTTGTTAGCAACGTGAAAGTATAAAACCCTCTGTACATATGTTATATTATATTTCATAATTACAGAGATATTAATATGAATGAAGCAGTACTAATTCAAAATTTGATACATATAATAGTATCAAATGTTCAAAACAAAATCATAAAAATTGCATTATCTAATGAGAATCAATATAAAATTATTAAAGGATTAATAAAAAACAAGTAATTACTTAAATAAAAATTTTTAATATTTTTATATATTATAAACTTGATTGATAGTTAGTTATGTTTTAGTTTAAAAAATGTTAATTATGAGAGTATATCAGTTCAATTTGTACTAACAAGTGTTTTATATAATACTGAATGTGATATTCTAATATTATCTACTGCTAGTTCTAAGATAATTAAAGATGATCATCTCTTGTGTACTATCATGACACGACCACGGCATTCTTTGTTTTTATGCGGAAACTTTGATTATTTAAAGGTAATATTGTTTAGTTTGATCCATATATTTAAGATTGAATTCTTGTAATTTTTTTAAATATATTTTTAAAACATATTTTATATTGTTATATTTTTTAGTCTCACTATACTTGGAAAAAATTACTAGAAGATGCTTATCAGCGAAAAGTTGTCAAATATGTCAATGAAAATATAATATCGAACTTAAAAGACATGAGTAATTTAATAAAATGTCACAAAAAATGAAGAAATAAAATGTAAGTTCATTGTGAAAAGCGTTAATTATTAAAATGAACACAATTAGTGTTCAATTTTATAAAAATTATTTTTTAGATAAAACTCGACTTATAATAAATATGTACCAATGTTTTGTATTTTTTTTTTTCCATTAATTATTGTTATTATTTATTTATATTCTCAAATGTTCGTTTTATATGTATTTTCCCTATAGTAACTTATTAATTCAATTCATAGTAAAGATTAGTTTAAACTATAATTAATGTATTTTAATTTAATTTTATATGTTAATAAAACTTGACATTTGAAATTTAAACTATGTTATAAAAATTCCTTTTTAGAGTCAAATATAATATATAATAAGAATTAATCACTTGTGGTTAATAGTATTTTAAATATATTTAAAATTTGAAGTTATTGGTCTTAAATTGAGATCTTAAGAAAATTGTTTACTTACTTAAAAAGTTTATCGGTGACTTGATATGGCTATATAAATCAAGAAGAGGCTTAACCTTCCAAAAATAATTAGAAAATGGTCCAGCTTATTTTAACAACCTTAATAACTTTTGATTCAGTTAATATCTTTCACAGATTTTTATTTTTAACTAACACTTTTAAGCTTTGATAAAAATTTAAAAAAATCATTTTTTGAATCAAACAAAAAAAAAAAACAGCCAATTAATGGAGTAAATTCTAAGGAAGGAATTTTAGTGTATCAAACGTGTCTATGTTATTAAGAAAAGGAGCAAAGTGTTGTTATTACGGTTTCGTCATGGAAACTGAACACATAAGAAAATTTTACACTTTCCCCTTCAAATGAAACAAAATGGTACGTTTACTAAATAATTAATTTTGTCATGGGAGATATGACACTTATATTCATTTAACAGTGCAATGAGTATTCATTTTTAAATAATTAATCTTGTTATTCATTTACTTAATAATTAATCTTTTGTTGTAATTAATTAAATAATTGAACATATAATAAAGATAAATAAAATCTAATTACAAAGGGAAATATCTAAGGTTTTAGTATAAAAAAATATAATGTTAATTTGTTTATTTTTGAAAAAGTTATGGAAGTTTTAAGAAAAAAAAGTGAAAAAAATGACAAAATTTACCGATTTTTAAATTTGTAATTTTTTTGGATATTTCCTCCATTTGGGGGGAACGAGGGAAATTTTTTCAATTTTTAAGGGTAATGTCTTCAACTAGATACGATTTGTGATNGCGGGGAACGAGGGAATTTTTTTCAATTTTTAAGGGTAATGTCTTCAACTAGATACGATTTGTGATCTTTTGACGTATTGTTGAAAGAAATCGGTCCAGTGAGAGCTGAGAAAAAGTGGCAACAGACAAAAAAAAAATACATCATGATAAAATTAATACCTTCTCAGCTTCGCATCGAAGCTAAAAGTCTTAAATAATAAACGATAGCACAGTGGGTGACGGCACCATATGGATGTGATATAGTTGAGACAAGTATAAATGATATCTGACAGAGATTAAAATCACTATAATAAGAAACGCTTCCATGCAAATCTGTAGATAGTATATAGTTTTAAGAAATTGACGGATTATTCCATAAGCAAAATTAACTCCTTCAAAATTAATTCCTTCATTATTCCTAATCAGTATATCTATGATTTATAAAGATAATATATGAATAAATATCAAATATAACAATTAAATATAGTATGAAAATGATATTTAATAATAATTATTTAAAGTAGTTGTTACTTTTATGGGACACGTGTAAAAAAATTGAAGGGCTTTGTACAAAACTTTTCAGAAATAATTTGTTGTTGATTATAAATAAATGTTCTACATGAAATTTTCATCAAAGTCACAATTATACTTTTCGTGATTGTTCGTCTACAGGCTCCTAAATCTCGGTTGGCCTGATTGACTTAGGATATGAATTCAAGTAAACCCCAATAAATTATTAAATAAGAAACTCGAAAGGAATTTGTCTATAATAATAATGTTGGTTTAATTAATAATAAACTTTATGGGTGGGCGTCCCCACTTACATTCATAGTGACAAATAAACAATACAGTTTAATAAAAATAAGTACAAATATAAATTTTAAGCGCTATAGAATACAGTAATCTGACCTGGGCTGATATCAAGGATTGGATTATACTGTTATATTTAACCAACTTCAATCGCTTGAATGAGACAAAACACGAATAAACTATAATGATCACGCGCCCGGTAAATCCACGGAATTCACCTTTACATTACAATACCGCAAGTCGCGGAAAAACTCGTGGCGGCGCCGATGGGTCTAATCACTAGACCATGCAATGGTTGACTAACTAGATAAGGCGACGACTTACCGGACAGCGAACGGCATCCCCACTTAATATATGTAATCGGTTCCATTCGGGCCGCAAATTGAACATAATCACATAACTTGCCGCAACAGAGATCAATTTTTTGCGCTGATTTCAATATTGTAATTAGATATTTTCTATCACCATTAATTTTTGATATTATTACTAATTACTTAAAAATTATAGAATATAACTATACGGAATATAGTTCTGAATATTTTAATTGTAGCATCTATTTAAACACCAAGAGTTACATAGAAATGATTAAAACTTCTATAGAAATGATTTATTACGTTATAAATATAAAAAATATAATAAGTGATCTTCATAAAATTTTCTATTTAATCATATCAATTTCAAACTTGCAAGTTAATATAAAAAAATATTATAAATTCAACATCCTTAAATTATAAACTTTCATAAAAAATTAACTTTAATGGATCAAAAAATTAGGATTAATATGAAATTTTAAATCAAAATATTACACGGTTAATTTTAACATAATAAAAAACAATTTTTAAATATAAATACTCGTTTTTATAAATGAGTAATAATCTCAAAAATGAGGCGACGGAAAAAATCTAATTACAAATTTGAAATTAGGGTAAAAACATGATTTAGCAGAGTATATATTATGAGTATATTTTGGTCTATATTGATTGAAATGTGTTTAATTTTAGTGATATGATTTTACTATGTAATTAAGTACAAAAACAAATTTTATACTCTTAATATTTGTTGAGGTATTCCTTTAGAGTTTTTTTTAAGTTGCTAGTTTTACAGTGGATATTTGTTTAAATATCTAAAATTAAGGGGTTTTCCCAATATTTTATGACTATTAATTCAACTAAATTAAAATTGATACTTTTAACGTATTAATTATCAAAATTGGTCCAGTAAGGGCTGAAAATTTGTATGGACAGACATAAAAAAACAATCATATAGTTGTTAAAAAAATTTGCTCAATTGAGTGTATTATAAAATTTGATTATAATTGTAAAAATTCATTGTTAAATATATATAAAACCCAAAATTATTTTTAGTTTCGAAGCGAAGCTGAGATGTTTTACTATGATGTGTTTTTTTTTGTGTCTGTTACCATTTTTTCTCATCTCTCACCGGGCTACTAATAGTATACTGTTTTTTTTTTTTGTGTGTATAGTATACTATATAATACACTAATTTTCAGAAATATTCCATGACTAGTTTTACCTATGATTTCCTCCCCTGTTGTGTTGTTAAATTTCATTTTAACTAATATTTTTTTGGTTATTTTAGCTTCGATGCGAAGCTGAAAAGGTATTGGTTTTACTATGATGTGTTTTTTTTTGTCTGTTACCACTTTTTCTCAGCTCTCACCGAACAGATTTCTTTTAACGATACATCAAAAGATCACAAATCGTATTCAGTCGAAGACATTACCCTCAAAAATTGAAAAAATTTCTCTCGTTCCCCGTAAATGGGGGAAACCTCCAAAAAAATTACAAATTAAAAATCGCTAATTTTCAAAAAATTTTCAATTTTTTTTACTAAAAACTGCCATACATTTTTTATAAATGAACATATCTATATAATTTTTATAGATACTTGATGTCTTTACCTATCATTTGGTATATTATTTTTATAAATTTAACCTTTAACCTGCCCACAGAGAGATTTAAAATAACAACTTTTTCACAAAAAATTTACTTTTTCAACTTAACTTTTGAAAGTGTTCCGGAAAGTCTGACACTTTTATATATATCTTAAATTAAAGTTAATGTAATATACTTTATTATGGAAAAAAAAAATTTCGGTCTTTATTTTGTTTTCACGGTGAAAATGGCCACCAAATACTATTTTGGTGTGAAAATTCTCGATTTTATTTTTTACATTTTTAACTTTATAATGCTATAACTTATTGAAAAGTGTATGGATTAACATAATTTTTTATGAGAAATAATAATTTTTAATAATCCCTTTTTCATTCGATATACTTTATCTGAATCAGGATATTAATAACGAACTAGCAGATCATGTTACTTTTGGAATAATCCACCTATTTTTTTTAATTTAAACACTATCTAAAAATTTGCATCGAAGCGTTTTTTTTTTATAGTGATTTTAATCACTGTCAGATATTACTATACTTGATCCGACTATGTTACGTCACCACTGTGCCGCGACCCCCCTGTGCTGGGTTTTTTAGCAATGATTTTATACAATAACATGTTACCAAAAAAATTGGAATATTACAGACTGGTAGTGGAACTCACATAGAGTTAAAAAAATTAATAAATAACAAAGTAAAATTATTTAACATTTTAATTTAATAAAGGGGAAATTTTTTTTCAATTTTTGATTATAAATATATTTTTATTATCATCAACTAGATACTAGTTTATTTGACGTATCGTTGAAAAAGTTACTTTAGTGAGAGGTGAGAAAAATGAATAATATAAAAAGAATAACAAAATTGTATTGATTCATACATTTTTCAAAACGTTATGGCAGTTTTTAGTAAAAGAAAAATGAAAAATGTCAAAATTTACCGATTTATAAATTTGTATTTATTTTGGAGATTATCCCCATTTACGGGAAACGAAGGAAATTTTTTCAATTTTTGAGGGTAATGTCTTTGACTGGATACGATTTGTGATCTTTTGACGTATCGTTGAAAGAAATCAATTCGGTGAGAGCTGAGAAAAAATGGTAACAGACACAAAAAAAACACATCATAGTAAAACTTCGCTTCGAAGCTAAAATTAACAATAAGATAATAGGACGAATTATTTTAACTAGTGATGCGCATTTTCGAATATTTTAAACTATCGAATAGTATTGGACATTTTTTTAAAACTATCGAATAACTTTTCGAATTGTGTTTATACAACGGAATAGTTTCATTTTAGCATAGACTATCGAATAGTTAAAAAACTATTCGAATATATTGTGTAACTATCAAATATTTTTACTATTCGAATAGTTTTTAAATGATTATCGAATAGTTCGAATAGTGGACAACTATCAAACAGTTTGATAGTTACTATTCAATATTTCCCATCACTAATTTTAACGAATAATATTGTTTTTATTCTGGTTTATAAAATATTGTCTTCGTAAATATCGTTCATGATGTTTTAAAACTTTTTATGGAAGTGTTGTTAATTAGTATAAACTTATGTTTTTTCCGGGAATAGTTTTATATAATTAAAATCTTATTTTAAATTTTATTCGTTTTGTTGTACTTCTGACGTAGGTACATAAATACATTTTATCCTTTTAGTTTTGAGGTCGCAATATTGTAACATTTCAATTGGTGTTGATACTTGATTACAACCAACTGCCTGTTAGCTATATTTTGTTACTTCTCTTTTTGTTGTTCCACGAATTCGATTGCTGGAGTTTTTGCCATGAAGAAAAAAAATGCCATTCTGCATTAAAACCAAAGTCTTCAATATAATAATAAAGATTAACAGAGTTCTTATTATTTTTGTATTGACTCAAAACACTGTTAAAATATTGAATTACATTTACAATTAAAGCTATTCATTAGATATCTGGTGTAAGGTAATTTTGAATTGTATAAACTGAAACTGTATTATCTTTCATGTAATCACTAATTATACATATACATTGACACTTAATTACATTGTTTATTTTATAATAATAAATAAAAAGATGAAAAATGGCTTGTTTAATAACCCAGCGGAAACTTTATATTTCATCTTATACCATAAAATTTCAATTTTTTGAAAAATCTACCTAAGCAATACTATATTTATTAGATGACGAATGTTATTTGTTGCTGATGAACGGTAGAACCGGATTGTCTTAAAGTGTCATCGCTTTAAGGCATGCATCAGCAATTTTTTATTGAGAGGGCTAACAATTTTGAGTTCTTACATGATTGCTACATAAATACATTTATGTAAAAATCCTTAAACTATAGTTCCAATTAAAAATGTTTAAGAGTTTTTTAAACACAACCCTAGAAGTGTGGTATTCATATCTATACATTTTTTAATTTGTAATATACCTTAACTTATCTTACTAAATTAGATATTTTTAATTACGCACAAACCTTAATACGTTTCATTACTTAAAAAAATAATTATATTTCATATTTTGTATTTAGGATAAATCCTGAGCTAGGATAAATTTAAGGTGTGCTTAGTCTATCTAAGCCCCGCTATAGTCTGCCTTGTTTCTCACTTAGATATGGTTCTATGAATAAAATAATTAGTTATCAGGAATTTTAAATTAATCACAGTAAAAGTTTTTAAATATGATTAACGAAAAATCATTTTTATGTTGAACACACGATTATCAAATGTAGTATATTAAGGGTTCTTTCTACAAGTCAAAACATTTTTTCTATGTATTAAACATCCATAGTAGTATAACATATGCTTTTCTTTGACAATCTTATGTCAACTAATTGATAGAAAAGAGTTAAACATTTTATCACCTACGCGACATTCACGACGTCTCATTTTATTTTTTGATAAAACAATTTTATTGAATGCGGTATATTTAATTAATATTTATGGCGGTCAACATATTCAATTTTATGTTTATTTACATTTCCCACCTCCAAAAATATTATGTTTTCTTTTTTGTGATTAATTTTTATCATGACTTTGACGATAATATTAAAATTGATAAGAGTAAGTATTTTGAAAGTTAATCATAACGAACTTGTTAACACAAAATAAATAAATATTGTTAAGTTACTCTTACTTCGGATTTAAAGTTATCATTATTCACTAAAAATTAAACAATAATTAAAAAAATATGGTTTTGTATAATTGTAAAAAATAAGCTGTACAAAATAAATAAAATTGTGGTCGATTTATTTTTATCCGGAGTAAAATGTATATTTAAAATGAAATAAATGATTTTTTCTAAATACTAATCTAATTTAAGTAGCTATTTAAAAGTTAAAATCTTAATGGCTTCCCTTGAAATTAAACCTAAATGTGCTTTAAAATGTCTTCGAAACATTGAAGATGTTACACAAAAGATACATCCTTTAAAATATGGAATGGTAATTTCATAATTATTAAGTCTTGTATAACATATTTTTATAAACTTTTAAGAATATAAAATTTTCTTATAATTTATTCGTTAGATAAGCAGTTTTTAATGTTGTCCAGATGTTAATAGAAAAACTTTTTGTTTATAGACCTCACCGTTCTATTTATTTATAGACTCTGATTTACATAAAAATATTATTTAAAATTAAATTTGATATTAAATTTATTTTTAAATTTGGCAGTGATGTTAAGTCTTTTATGCAGATTTTTACTTGTGAATATGACAATATTTTTCCAAAAATAATTGATATTGATAAATTATGGAAGCTGGCAACATTATTTAAGTTTTTTAAAATTGTAAATAAATTTTTTATTTAAAGAAAAGAAAGATAAATTTCTATGAAACATGTTGATTATTTAGTATGTTTCAAATTGTAGTAAAGAAACTACATTGATTCTTTAAATTACGAGACATACATCTTGAAATTCTTAAAAGGATATTAAATAAGAGAACACAAGTGATCAATCTTATTACTTATTGTAATTGTTGGCTAAGCTATAAAAGATGTGTTTCTAAACTACAATAAGCTGCATATAACATACAAAATAATTAGTGCATTATTTTCAACTTTGCCCATTATTTCAATTTATTTCCAGAATACTATTGGAAGAGGATTAAATAATGATATTGTGTTGAAGAATTTAAATGTATCAAGAACTCATTGTCATTTATTAGTAGAGAAAGGTGAAACAGATGATGTGGCTTATATAATAGATTTAGGTGTAAGTAACATTTTATAACTGAAATTATTGATTGTAGAATATGCAAGTAAATAAAAAATGTCTAAAAACAGTAATTATTTTTGTGAATGTCTACTTTTGATTGAACTGTATTTTATGGGTGAGATAGAGCCTACTATATATAGTAATGAACATACTGAATTTTGGATGTATTTTTTTTCATTGTATAATTATCTATGTAACTAATTTTATCTTTGTTAAAATTGAATTTATTTAAAATTAGTCAAAATGAAATAAATAGTTAATAAATATTTTAAGTTTTTTTTTTTTACTTACATCTACTAACTTTTTAATCTCCCAAAACAATTTTGATTATAATTATTTATAATTATAGACATCAAATGGAACCATAGTTGGAAATATTGATTTAGTTAAAGATGAAAAATATAAATTAAATGATCTAGATATGATTGCTTTAGCAAGTGGAGACCAAGGAGTTGTTTTGCAATATATTAAAATAGTCGGAAATATTGATTTGTCACCTTCTGGTCATGTAAATTAAATTTTTTTATATTTTCATAAATATTTATTTATTTAATTCAATGATATTTATTTTAGAATGCTATTCAATTAAGCAACAAAAGAAAAGTGTTAAACTTAGAAAATGATGAACCAACAAGTACATTGAAAATGCCAAAGTTAGGTAAAATAAGTATTGATGTTTTATATAAAACTACTTAAAGTCTTAGAGTTATATTTATAGTTGATTCTTTTAAAAAATTTTGCTCAAGTTATTTTTAAGTAATTTATTCATAATATTTGACTCTAAATAAGACTTTTAGACCTAACAGTTTTTTAAATGAATATTTATACAAATAAAAATATTTTTAAAAACTTTAAGTTTTATATTATCTTTTAACATTGAATATCAATAAAATATAATAAAGTATATATGTATTTTTAGAATTGCTGACTAAAATTGAAAATCAAGACTGTATTAGTAATGAAATTATGATAAAATCAAATAAAGAAGGTATGTTCATTTAGTATAAACAAATCGTCATAAAATTTGGGATCTATTTATTTAATTTTTAAAAACTATTTTTTCAAATATTTACAGAAAATTTAAAACAGAATAATGACATAGGATCTAGTTCAGTCTACCCTATTCAACATGAAAATCAAAAGATTAATTCTGATATTGAAGTGAACCATGCAGAAAATCCTGTTTTCTTAAGATCAAACATCTCAGGTTTACCTGTCAATGATGTTGAAATGAGTAATGAACCTATTTTTTTAGCAAAAAAAGTTAGCTCTGATAAAGTTGATTCTATGCAAGCATGCTCTTCAACTTATGCAGACATTAATGTTTTACCTGTTACAAATATAAAAGAAGAACTAGATGCTAATAATTTTATGGTATTTAGTCAAAGCTCTTATCGAAAAGAAGAAGATAGTATTATTGTAATGGTATCTTCTGATGAGGAAGACTGTGTTAAAAATTCTGAAATTGTAAAAATAAGCGAAACAAATAGTATTGTTTATAATTTTAATGACTTAAAACAACAACAAAGTATTCAGTATCCTCACAGTTCTAATGAAAATAAACCTATTCTTTGTCATTGGAATAATGTAACACAAATTAGTAGTGATGAAGATGAAGATATAGTATCAACTTCTATCAAATTTGATAATAATAGCATTTTAATAAGTTCTGATGAAGATAATGAAGAAAATAGCCATAAAAATTTACAATATACTTGCTCCTTATTAAATAAAAAGTCAGTTAAAGAAGCTGTATCAAGTACATTGGTAAATAATGATATGAGTAGTGATGATGATGGTGATGATAAATACCCTCCAATTATTGATGCCCTACCATTGAAAAATCCTTCAAAACGAAGAATACCTAAAGCACTAATTGAAAATGAAAATATAATGAAAACTCGTGCAAAATGTCAAAAAAAAAATAATAATAAAAAGAAAACGGAACTCTTGATAGCTGAACAAAATAAAGTTATTGCTCAAGAAAGAAGAAATAAATTAATGAAACTTTGTAATAATGTACATAATTCTATTAAGGAGAATAAAGATGATTCAACTATTATTGATCAATATATGGACAAACCATCAACAACTGACATATTAAAAAAGAAAAGAAGAATTTCAAGGGTCGTATCAGATCAACTTGATGATTTTAAAAACATGCCTAGTACTTCTGGTAACAACTTTAATACTAAAGAAGGAATAAATGGTTCTGAAAAGATAAATAGTAAAAGGAAAGTAACTTTTAAACAATCAGAAATAATAAACAATACATTTTCTAAAATTGATAATATGACAAGTTCAAAATATTTTGCATTGTTTGATACAGTTAGTAGAATATGCAAGTGGAATGCCGTTTGGTTGTATGTAAGTAAAATAAATTATCATTAGTATTTTTTATATATAATTAGTTTTACACAAAGAGGCAATACTATAAGATATTAGATTATTTCCTTAGATCCTTTTTTTGAGACTATTACTAATTTATAAAAACGAATATTTACATTTAAAAATTTATATTGAAGTTTAATATGTTCAAAATAATCTGTTTTATCCATTCAATATGTCACATTTAACCTATTTTTTGGTCCTATAAAGTTGATTTTTATGAAAGTTTATAATTTAAAAATGTTGAACTTATAATATTTTTTTAGTTTAACTTACAAGTTTGAAATTGATATAATTAAATAGAAAATTTTATGAAGATTTAAAAAATGGTTTTATTTAGATTAATGTATAGCCAGGAACTAATATAATTACTATTAACAGTAAATTTTCGAAAAAAGCCCAACATTTTATTAAAATAGCTTATTATATTTTATGTATTTATATCATTTCAATAAAAATACTAATCTTTTCTATATAACTCTTGGTGTTAAAAAAATGCTACAATTGAAATATTCAGAACTATATTCCATATAGTTATATCCTATAGTATACTGTTTTTTTTTTGTGTGTGTGTAGTATACTATATAATACACTAATTTTCAGAAATATTCCATGACTAGTTTTACCTATGATTTCCTCCCCTGTTGTGTTGTTAAATTTCATTTTAACTAATATTTTTTTGGTTATTTTAGCTTCGATGCGAAGCTGAAAAGGTATTGGTTTTACTATGATGTGTTTTTTTTTGTCTGTTACCACTTTTTCTCAGCTCTCACCGAACAGATTTCTTTTAACGATACATCAAAAGATCACAAATCGTATTCAGTCGAAGACATTACCCTCAAAAATTGAAAAAATTTCTCTCGTTCCCCGTAAATGGGGGAAACCTCCAAAAAAATTACAAATTAAAAATCGCTAATTTTCAAAAAATTTTCAATTTTTTTTACTAAAAACTGCCATACATTTTTTATAAATGAACATATCTATATAATTTTTATAGATACTTGATGTCTTTACCTATCATTTGGTATATTATTTTTATAAATTTAACCTTTAACCTGCCCACAGAGAGATTTAAAATAACAACTTTTTCACAAAAAATTTACTTTTTCAACTTAACTTTTGAAAGTGTTCCGGAAAGTCTGACACTTTTATATATATCTTAAATTAAAGTTAATGTAATATACTTTATTATGGAAAAAAAAAATTTCGGTCTTTATTTTGTTTTCACGGTGAAAATGGCCACCAAATACTATTTTGGTGTGAAAATTCTCGATTTTATTTTTTACATTTTTAACTTTATAATGCTATAACTTATTGAAAAGTGTATGGATTAACATAATTTTTTATGAGAAATAATAATTTTTAATAATCCCTTTTTCATTCGATATACTTTATCTGAATCAGGATATTAATAACGAACTAGCAGATCATGTTACTTTTGGAATAATCCACCTATTTTTTTTAATTTAAACACTATCTAAAAATTTGCATCGAAGCGTTTTTTTTTTATAGTGATTTTAATCACTGTCAGATATTACTATACTTGATCCGACTATGTTACGTCACCACTGTGCCGCGACCCCCCTGTGCTGGGTTTTTTTGTATGTTAATACTCATTTTTAACTAATTAGTAATATTATTAAAAATTGGTGACGATGGAAAAAAAATCTAATTGACGATTTGAAATCAGCGCAAAAAGTTGCTTTATACAGAGTGATCCATTTAACATTGACCAGCAAATATCTTATCTTATCTAATATGTGTCTTTACGAGCCATCATAACTGCTGCAATTAACTACCTGTATTACAAGTCTACCCGTTTTATACATATATATAGATAAAAAAAATCAAAACTTTAAAGTGAAATAACATGCAAACTAATCGACTTAAATGAAAAATTCAAACGCTAAAAATTATTAAAAAAAAAAACTCTATCAATATATCTAACTAAAAATATATGTTTCCATTTGAAAAAAAAAAGTTGGTACCCTTTTAAGGCATAAGGGATGAACCTAAAAATTATCTGATCATGGATAAATGTAGAGTTTTATGTAACTAAAATAATTAAAAAAAAAAATTATTAAAATAATAAATAGTTTTTGAGATATTTGCTGGTCAATGTTAAATGGATCACCCTGTATATGTATAATTTTGACTCTGATGAAAATACCTTGTAGATAATTTATTTATAATAAAAAACAAATTATCTTCTAAAAATTTTGTATCAAGCCCTTCAAATTTTATACATGTTTGCTATAAAAGTAAAAACTACTTCATAATTTATATAATTTCTCCATAAAAATTACTATACTAAATTGTTAAATATCAATGTTTTTGAAGTTAGTGATTTAAACTTAAAATGATTACAATCAATACAATCATATTTATTGCATCGTAGACCAGTGGGGGGTTAATTGGTGGATGTAGGGGAGAGTTCCTCCATTGACTTCTTTATTTGAATAGGGTGTGTCAATCATTTATTATTTTTATTTTTTATACTTTGAAAAAATAAGAAAACATCCATTTATGCATATACATTAGTCCATAATAATATCCTAATGTAAGCGACACAAATAAATAAAACCGAATTATGAAATTACAGTGCCCCCAAAATGTTTTATCAAACAGGGTGATTTTTTTATCATAACCCACTCAATTATTCACAGAATAAAAATTATTTAAACATTTTATTTTTTTTTAAATATTAGCTATACTTTTTCATCTATTATACTTTTTAAGGGTTTGATGACCAAGTTATTTGACCAGCACTGTCCTAGATTTTAAAAACTAGATAAATAATATATGGCACACATAATTAAAAAACCTTAATTTTTCTATGAGCTTGAGTTCAAAAAAAATTATATAAGAATTGAATATATACATTTTAAATAATATGTTTAAACCTTTATTTAATGTTTTAATAACCTAAATTGTAAAAAATCTATTTAGTTTTATACTATTGTTTTGATTTTTTTGTCTTATTGAATGAAAAAAAACCTTCATACATTTTCTAAATATTTAAAAATATTTCTGAATTTAACTAATACATGATTATGTTTAAGGATTTTATGAATTTAATTATGTGTAATCATAATTTCATTAAAATTCCTCATATGATCACAATTTATTATTTATGCTTAGATAATTATTATTATAGCTTAAAATTTAGTAAAGTGTTAATTTTTTTTTATTTAAAATTGATAGATGTACATGGAAATAATTAAATATGTTTAATTTGTATCATTAGGAACAAAAAACAATTGATGAAACACCACCTCTAACAAAAAATTTGTACAAAATGAAAGGACAATTTGAAAATCCTACAGAATATTCTTCTATCATGAAACCATTGTTACTCTATGAAAACTGGTCAAAAATAACTGAAGTATACAATGTAATGATCAATAAAAATCCTAGTTTGGAACAATGTATTTTTGGGAAATCACCATTTAAGTAATTTTTTTAATTTAATCATAGTTAAGTAATTGATTGTAATCATAACATTATGATTAAGGAATTTTATAAGGACTAGTTTTGATTGTAAAATTATATATATTATGTATTCATTAATTTTTTTTGAAATAATGACACCTAATTAAAAATGTTAAGTGTTTTGAATACATTATTACATATATATAATGTGATTAGAACACTAAATCAAAAATGATCTTATGAGTAGTTGATCGTTTTTTTCAATTGTAATTTTTAATTTTTACATGAATGTATCATTACAAGATTTTCTTCACCAATTAAATTATTTTACTATTGGGGTTTTAACAAAATTAGTTTTTAGGTTAAAAATAAAAGTAAAATTTTTCAATTTGGTAAAATACATTGACATTTGTTTATATTATTTAATTTATTTTTATATTTTAGGAATTCTCCCCTTTTTACATTTACAATCCATTCTGTAAACCATAAATTTTCTTCGTCAAATCCAATTTTAAAAACAATAAGTGAACCTCTGTGGTGTTTAAAATGTATAGGTAAGTATATATTTTTATCTAGACATAATAGATGAAAGTATTTTGCTTTTGGTAGTAGGAATATTATTATAAACTTTTATACTTTTCTATACATTTTTAAATTTTATTTCATATTAACATTGTACCACATTTCCCACAGTTACACTTCAAATTATAAATCTATATAGAAGTGTATCGTGGTCTAAATCATAAATGCTTAATAGCTTAGTGTTAAGGTTTTTTCTCTAAGACATCTTGGGTTACGGAATCTAAGCCTACATTGTGTCTCTTTTTTAAATATAACTTCTGATACACTTTTGATAAGTGGCCATGTCAATATAATGAATAATTAAAATTCTAGGGAATAACCAAAGTACATCATCTTCAGTAGGCTTTCCTCAAAATGGATTTCTATGTATTGCTATAGTTCAATCAAATTCTTTTGAAACTAATGCAACTGATGTAAAAAAGCCTACTAAATCAAGAAATATATTTTTTTCTTATGTTCAATCTGCAAAAAAAAATGGTAATTTATTGTCAGTGCAGTATTTATAGCAGTTATTATTATAAATAATGTTTAATTTTTAGGGTCACATAATATCCAGTGGAGTGTAGAACTGATTGTTACTAGAAAAACTGTAAATATTCTCAATGGAACATTTATTCATTTATTAGTATGTAGATAATATTTTTAATAGTTGTTTTTAAGTGTAACTTATGAATCTTAGATTTTCTGTTAGTACTGTGATTTGTAACATATCCAAATTTCAAAATATTTTACCATTGTTTCATCACCAATCATTGACATTGATGGGTTACAAAAAATAATTTAAACCTAATAAAATACTAATGTTTTTTAAAGATATTTTGTTCTATTTGCAGTGAAATACAAACTGTTTTTGCTTTACTGTCCTTAAAAATACTTTAAAAAATTGTATGAAGTATATACAAATGCTTTATAAGGCTTATTTAATTAATTTTTTTTTAAGGGTTCTGGGTTGGGTTTGATCCTTAGGGTGGCAATGATATTTTTCTTGTGATTTTCTCATTGGTGATGTTTGGTCTTTGGTGCAAGCTAGCCATAATACCCGTTCCATCCATCATTAGCTTAGCTAAGAACTATCCTTGAACCCTTAATTTGTGAAAGACGGCCACCACTCTCTGTAGCATGTTAAGTTTGGTAAATAGAAGAATGTCAAACTGATCATTAATTCAATAATTTATTTATTATAATGATCATATATATTAAAATCATTATTCCTTCTAAATTTGAGATAATTTATAGTTACAATAAAAATCTATTTATACATTCTAAAGAAATATTAAATGTCTAATAAAAGTTTCAATTTTGTATTCTATAAGTCAAGTTTTACTTTTAGAAAGATTTCTAGATCAACTTAATAAAAAAAAAAAATAATTGCAAACAATTTTAGAATTGATCTTTCTTTTGATTTTCTTATACAGCTATCTAAATAAAACACTGATTTTTATTTATTAAATAGTAGAAATTTGTTTGATAACAGCCTGATATTTATTGTGGTAGTTGTTTTACCAGTCATGTGTACAGGTCTACCCAACACTTATAGTGTCAACAGTGTAGGGACATTATAACTCAACTCTAGACTGGACTCATGTATAAGGCTGAAAAATAGCTTCAAAGTAAGAATAGGTATGTGGAAGTTTGAAACATTAATTGGTAAAAGTAGAGAATTAGTAGATATATTGAAGAGGAGAATAGTTAACATTTGTTGTGCGTAGGAAACTAAGTAATGGAGTTGTAGTGTAATGGAAGAGAATATACAAAAACAGAATGAATATTTGTTAGTTGTAGTTTTAGTTTTAGTTATTATTGAGGTGGACATAATGCCCATGCACTCAGACCTGTTGGTCCATTGTGCGCACCTCATACCGAATTGTCTTGATTCGGTTTACCCACCTAAGTGTTATCACCAAAGTGTTAATACATTACCAACCATAAAGTCACCTCTAGAGATGACCAAAGAGTCCTGTCTTTCTGGCGAAATTAAGTATCTCTCTGGGTTTTAGGTTTTTAATATCCTCTTTTTCAGGAAATGGTTTATTCAAGTAGTTTGATCTTAGTGTGGACAAGGCTTCACATTCGCACATGATGTGAAATGAGTCTTCCTCTTCTACTCCACACTTCCTGCACAATGGTGATTCCGATACCCCCATTGCGTTAAGATGCTTAAGCAGGTGACCATGTCCTGTCAGTAGACCAGTCAGGGTGCTTATTTGATGTCTAGTCATGCTATTAAGATCACCCAGCAATAAACCAGGGGTCTTGATAAACATTTTAGATTGTCTAGGTACTACCAAGTACTTCCAGATTTTCCTGTGTTGTTCTCTGCACCAATTCTTGGGTAACGCTTTGAGCGATTGCTCAGTGAGCCCTACCACTGGTTCTGGTCCAACATAGGTGTTCTCTGCTCCTTTCCTGGCTAGAAAGTCAGCATTCTCATTTCCAGTGACACCGTTGTGTCCCGGTACCCACGCTAGTGTAACTTTGTTGAACCTCGATAGTGATTCTAAAGTTTCCCTGCATTCGAGGACCAGCTTTGAATTCACCTGATCGTTACAGAGTGCTTTCAAAGCCGCTTGACTATCACTTAAGATAGTTATCTTCCTATTTTTGTATACCAGCAGGTTCTGAGCCCCTACCAGTATCGCCATCACCTCTGCTTGGAAAACAGAGGGTGTTGTGCCCTGTTAGTTGTGTAAAAGAATACTGTAAAGGAGATTATTGGTGAGAGTAGGATTAGAATTCCAGGTAACAAAGAAACTTGGTGGTGGGATGAGGACGTTCAATTTCATAGAGAGTAAGAAAAAGTAGTTCTAAGTATGGCAAAAGAGCAAAAGGAGAGAAGATTGGTTGGAGTATAAACATTTATTTAAAGAAGCCAAGTGGTAGAAAGAGAAAGAGTATTTTGAAAAATTATTAAATGTGGAGCATCCAAGAAAAACATTGGAGGATACCTCATGGAACGAAAGACTGGTAGAATTAGTGAGATAGAGGTATTCCCTGATCATTTATTGTTAGTAGGAAACAATAGGGAGGAAATTAATCAAAGGCTAGAGGTGTGGAGATCAGCTCTTGAAGAAAAGGGTTTAAGAATAATTAGAAGTAAGACAATATATAGAGTACGAGATTGACAAAAGAGAACACTTGGTAGGTGAAATGAGGAGATCAGTGACAATAGGCTTGGTAGTGATTGGAGAGGTGGAAAGTTTTAAGTATTTAGGGTCAGTTGTGCAAAAGAGCGGTGATATTGACGAGGATGTAAGACACAGGTTTAAGTGCAGGTGGTTGAAATGGAAAGAAGCGTCTAGTGTCTTATGCAATAAAAGAATTCCAATGAGGCTGAAAGGTAAATTCTACAAGACTGTAGTGAGACCATATGATGTATGGTTCAGAGTGTTGGGCGGTTGATAAGAAAGTAGAGCAGAGAACGAGTGTAGCAGAGATGAGAATGCTTAGATGGATGAGTGGAGTGACTAGAGAAGATAGGATAAGGAATGACATATAAGAGGGAGCATAGCTGTAGTATCAATCGTAAATAAGATGAGAGAAAATAGACTTAGATGGTTTGGTCATGTTATGACTAAATAGTAGAAATATGTACAAATTGGTTATCACTTAGTCATATAATATTCTCAAATCCTCTCTTTTAATATAGTTTATGTAGGGTGTTAATCTCCTTGAACTATGATTTATATTTTCATTGGTAATAATTTTTTTTTTGTTTTTGCTATAATTTTTTAGATGCTTTACTTTATACCATATTTTGATATATGTCATTGTTATTATTAAATTTTAATAAGTAATTTTATCTTAAAATACTTGGTTTAAATGTTAATTTTAATTTTAGGGCTTACATTATTTACGATCAGAACTACGACTATTTCAAGCAATTAATTATGTTGCAGTGTCCTCACTTTGTAATGCTTTAATTACACCTCAATTGCATAAATACTCATATTCCAAAGCCAGTATCAAGAATTTCAATATATCATTTAATGTAAATACATTTATTTAATTTATACATTATTATATTGATATAATTTAAATTTCAGACATTTTTATTAATTATATATGAAGAGTACAGTGGAGTAAAAGTAAAAGTCCATTTTTTTTTTATTTTGATTTTGTGGTTTGATTTGATAGCTCACTAGTAGTACTATTTAAGTGTCTATTTTCGTTTTATCATTAAAAAATTTTTTCAGAAATGGACAATTAACTGTTTTTCCTCTGTACCCTCAGTATTAACTATATATATCAGCTATAATTTATTTATTATATTATAAAAAATTTCAATTATTATACTTAGGATTTTTTGAACAATAGCCAAAAACAAGCTGTTAAAATGGCTGTAATGCTTTCTATTTCCAAAGAACCAAACATAGGACTTATTATTGGACCACCTGGTACTGGAAAATCAAATGTAATATGTAATGTAGTAATCACACTTCTTAAAATGAATATTCAATCTAAAGATGACAATAAACATAAAGTACTTCTCTGTGCACCTTCTAATGAAGCAGTTGATGTTTTAGTAAGGCGTTTGGTTGAGATAAAAACTGAATTGATGGGCAAGTAGTTATTTTGTAAAAATATGTTTAGTGAGAGTACAAATGAATGATAGATATTGTGAAGTTACTAAGTGAACTGTGAATTATATATATTTTTTATTTAATCATTTTGATCCTTTTAATTATGCTTTATGTAATAAAAATAATATAACTTATTATTTGTCTATTAACTAGACTTTACACAATTAAATGTTTATAATTTTCTTAATTTTTGAACCAACATAAAAAAATTAAATTTTTATTAATTAAAAAAAAAGAATAATACTAAATTAGTATTGTCATAGACTATATTAAAAACATATTTTTAACCATTTTCTTAGTTGCATCATTTTCTATTTTATGATTTAGTTGTATATGTATGATGTTATTAATAAAATAAATGTTTTTACTCTTATAAGGGATAAGATATAGAACTAAAAAATATGTACCCCCTTTTAAATAAAAAAATCAATAATACTCAACAAAATCCCAAAAAAATTTTCAAAATTATTATTATTATAAGGGTAATTTAATGGACAACGGCACATTAATCATCCTTTTATAAAAGTATTAGTACTAGCTAATTTATATTATTAATAAAAAGATAAAATCAATATCAAATCAAGACATTGTGTAGGCGTCTACATTTTAAATGAGACCCAATACATAAGTGTCATTTAATCTTTATTTTTTATACTATACCAAAAAATTCTGAGTTCTGTGATTATAGCCTCCTTAGATTAGGGTTTGGCTAAAATAAAAAATACAATTCTGTACTGAACCTTATTATATACCTACCTAATGAACACTACATATATTATTTGAACAAAAATTTAAAGTAAATTAGTACCAAGTATATAAGCAATTTGTGCATAGATAGCACTAATGAGTGTATTAAACTACCATGGACAAGCAGTACTTTTTGAATGTTATTGGTTGGTCATTTATTAATATTAATCAGTTACTCATTATAAGCAATTTCATACAAAAATATATATTTTGCCCTTTGTTAATCATGTTTATCATGTCAAGTGTTTATCCAGAAAAATCTTTATTTTTCTACTTTAATTTAAAGAACTCGGTTACTGAAATCCCATAGTATGATTGTGGGTTCTTATGGTGATTGTTTTTTGTTGGAAACTATGTGAGAAAATTGGTTTTGCAGGTTCAAAGATGACATTTTGAAATAAATGGGAAAAATTATGAAAATAATTTTGAAAATTATCAATTGCTGGCTCGTTTGGATGAGTTTGATATAATTGATATTACTAAAAATTCTTTCGGAGCAATTGGGTCTTACTCAACCAGTCATTTTCATGCATCTTTGTGCCATGGGAAAGGCTCATAAGATCGAAAAATAAGTGATATTTTAATTAAACAATAAGCAAACAGAAAAACACTAAAACACATGTAAAATTTCGCTTGTTAGACAATTTATTCATCAGATTATGATAGCCTACAAAAAATGGATATATTTTTAAAATCCTAAGCTCAAATAAAATTAGTAACATTTGGTGAAATGTGTAACTAGCAAAGGAATATACTTTAGTTTTTTTTTTTTTTTTTCCACCGTAAAAACATGTGTTTTTATAGCTCAAAAACAATAAACTTAAGCTTATGTACCTGGTATAATTTTACTATTTAAATTGTGTGTAAAATTTTTGATCATAAAAAATCAACAGATTTTTTTTACTCTTATAGATCAAATTAACTTTAGCATTGTTAGAGCTGGAGGAAGTCAGAAAATGGACCCAATAATTACTGATGTAACATTGGATCATTTAGTAAAACAAAAAATGGATGGTTTTTGGAATGAAGTCTGTATTTAAGCTTTTATTTTCAAATTTGTGCTTAAATTCTACATATTTACTAATTTATTAATTTTTAATTATTTTAATATTAGAATGGAGGCAAACCAAGTTCTTTATCTATGTTTTCTAACAGAAAGGAAGTTGAAAGGCATATACTCCAAAAAACTGATGTTGTTATTACAACTTTAAATTCATGCTATTCTAAAGCAATGGAAGATGCTTTCATAGCAACTAAAAATAAGTAACTATGAATTTGATGAAACTAATTCTATTTTGGACTTTCAATTTTAATTAACACTTAAATTTTTGTTAGTTGCAATCAATTTACAGTTTGTATAGTAGATGAAGCTGGGCAATGTGTTGAACCTTTAAATTATGTTCCTTTATTACTAGGAATTAATAAACTTATATTGGTTGGAGATGATAAACAATTACAGCCAATTGTCAAGAGTAAGGTAAACAAAAAAATTAATTTAATACATGTAGTTCTTAAATAATATAGGTATTAACTGAAATCCAGTTTTATTTTAGGTTGCCAAAGATCATGGATTTGGCATTTCATTATTCAAACGTCTTAAGTTCTGGCTAGACCATAATCATACTAATGATAATGACTTAATTCCTATGAAATTATTAGATACTCAATATAGGATGCATAAAGAAATTTGTACATTTCCATCAAAATATTTTTATAAAGGTTATGTAAAAACAGCTGCATCAGTTAATAATAGAAAATTGTTATCTGTTCATCCTTATATAATACTTGAACATCAGAGTCAACAAGACAACACGGGGTAATTAAAAAAAGATTCAAATTAAAATAAACTATTTTTAAAATTTAACTATTCTATACTTTTTAGGGAAGCTAATATAGATGAAGCACATTTGATTGTTAGTTTAGTAGAAATTTTATTAGACTTGGAAGAATGTAGTTCATTGTCAATTGCAGTTTTGACACCATATCATAAACAACGAGAACAGATTAATTTATTATTAGGAAAAAAGTAAAATTTTACTGCATATTATAACAAAAATAATGAATAAAAAATAATACACTTAACTTTATTTTAGAAAAATTTCATTAAACGTAAACACAATTGATTCATTTCAAGGTAGTGAGTGTGATATTCTTCTTATATCAACAGTTCGCACTAATGGAATAGGATTTTTAGATGATCAATGTAGGTTGAATGTAGCTTTAACACGAGCAAAACAATCATTAATAATCTGTGGAAATTTTGTATCTTTAAAAGTGAGTAATTTTGTAAAGAATTATTTTTATTCTTCAATTATGTAAGTTTAGTTTATTGTTTATGTTTTATAGAATTACACCAAAATCAAAGGGAACAAACTTTTAAGTCATTCCGTTTTTTTTTTAAATTCATAAAAACTAAAAACTATTTTTAACAGATAAAATTTTATTATTAATGTTAAATTGGAAATGTTTTTTATATATATATAAATTTACATTTAATTTTAATAATTTTTGAAAGGCTAAATTTCTTCTAGACCCCCCAGATTGTGCTTTGAGAACAAGAAAACCATTGACTAAAATGAGCATTTCCGCTTTACCTCCAAAAAATGTAGAAAATTACATATATTGTTATATAAAAAACTATTTTAATGCGGGGAAAATATTAAAATATATCATTATATCCTTAAAATTGTAATTCTGCAGGACTATTTAGATTCTCTGGGAAAATTTAGATAGTCTAGCAAAATGGATTTAAATTCTTAATAATCCTTATACTCTAAAGCACAATACTTAATGGTTGATTTAAGTAGATGACTTAAATGCATATTTATATCTCACTGAAAACTAATTTTCCAATGTTATGTTATTTTTCTTCAAATATTAAACTTGCAAAAAAATATTAATATAACAATATTGTCAGTAATTTTGTTTTATTTTGAAGGGAGAAAAAGTTTGGTTTGAATTATTAGAAGATGCTAAAAAACGTAAGCTGTTAAAAAAAATATCAAAAAGAAACTTAACAAATTCGAGAGCATTAAGTTCAATTATTAAAAGATAGCCTTTGTTATTTACATTATTTATTTTTTCTATTGTAATATAATTAATATACATTTGTATATTTTAAGTTAAATTTCCTTTTTTGTATTTTTAACTGACTTAACTTTAAAATATAGTTATTAAAAAACTATCCAGCTTTTATACAATATATTTTATCAATATATATATTTAAAATATGTTACAAAAAATATTAAATAATATATTATTCTTATTGAAATTAATTTTTAATTATAAATACATGATAGAAGACCCTATTTTTTCTTAAAATTCCTCATGTATGTATGATAATTATAATTTAATAGAACTATGTGCACTGTAAAAATTATATTTGATCTAATTATGATATAGTTGAAACAAATATATAAATTCAAGTTTATCGATATGTTGGAATACTTGTATAGAGTAATATTACTAAATGGATACTTGTTAATTATTGGCCAAAGTGATAATAAACAAATTTATTATATTACATTCATCCATCATTATTTTAATTTTTGTAAAGATCTTAAAAATAAACAGATATTTTTATTTTATATTTTAATTATAAAATAATGAAAATGAAATAAAATCATATTAGTAATTTTATTGTAACATTTTGATTTTATTTAGAAAAAATATAATTTATTTTATTATATACTTGATCAATTAGAACAATTGAAGGGTTTTTTACTAAAAGTTGGTAGCTCCACTTTTGGAACATTTGGAATTTAACGTCTTACGTAGTAAAAATAGAAAGAATTCTTTAATTTAATACTAGAAAAACACATCAATATGGATTTGTTGTTAAGTAATTTAAATAATAAAATTACAAACGCCATTTTATTTATTACAAAATTATTTATTTCAAATTTCTGGTAAGCATGTATATTTATTTGTTTAAAGTGGTGACAATTTTTTATTTAAAATATAAAGACTTGGTAACAAGAGCCACTTTAAAAATTGTATAAATGTAGACAATTGAAAAAATTAATGACAGTTTTATGCTATCAAATATGTTCCATGTTAAGGTTTCTTTTTTGGATAATAAACGAATTACATAAATTTGAAAAGACCATATTTTTTCCTTAATAATTAAGGAAAAATATATATTAATGATGGACACTATGGAATAGTTTTGACTAAAGGGTTTTATTTATTCGATTGTTTTTATTCACAAATGACTAGTTTTAGACAATCGAACTACCGAATAATATGGTGTTTAAAATAAAATGTTGATAGTTTTCAATTATGAATGAATGCTACAGAATGAAATTTTCATGACTATACTTTTGACTATCGGATGAAGTATATAAAAGTTTTCAATCGAATAAAAACTACAGTATATTTTACTTGATAGTTTGGTAGTCAAAAGTATCTAGACATGGACATTTTTACACAAATAAGATATTTATAACTTACGAGGGACGTCCAGAAAGTAAAGATACAAGATACAAGATATAATGCGCATTATATACTGGAATGGTTAGTAATCACATCTCCTATGATAAAAGTGCGACAGTCGGTAGTTCGGTGTCGATTGTTCGATAACTAAATACTATCGACAAACATTATGTTTTGAAAACAAACGGATGAATCGATAGTTTTAGACTGTCGAATAGTTTAATAATTATTTTTCATTGTTTAATATAATTATAATATCATAAAAAATATACATCATTATTATTATTACCATTACTGTCAATGATATTGATTTTAATTTATATAACAATTTAAAAATCAATTGTTTAAATAAAATTTATATTTTAACTTGATTTTGTCAAATATATGATTTACCTTTATCGCTCATTATGTTTATGAGGATTAGGTAATAGTCACAATGTATAATAAATAAACCAGACACCTGTGATTACAATATACAAAAAATTATATTGATAAGTAATAATAAATTAGTTACAACTATGAACATAATTTTTTAATTTAAAACAAATTATGTATAACTTTCGAGTAATTTTTATGGTGATATTTTTAGAATAATTTTTTTTTTAGTATTTCTAAACTTTAAATAATTAAATATTTGAAACAATTTGAAGAAAATTGCAATGAATATTGACCGATTTGATGGTAAGTTATTGACTTTCAAGATACTTTAAAATATTATTTATTTCAAAGTTTTAAATGAAGTCAAGAATTTAAATCTAAATCACATTAAGAACAAATGCGGTTTAAAAGGAGCGGCCTCTACGTAATCTATATATTAGAATGTATAATTGTATAAAAATTGCAAATATTGTTTTGTTGTACTGTCTACTAACTGCAAATAGATTGATTTTAGATTGTACCTGACTCAGGCTGATACTTCAAATTTGCTGCGTCTCTAAATATTTAATGTGGGTGTGGTTACTAATGCTACATAACATTTTTTTTAATTTGCCGTAGATAAATGTAAAGGTTTAATTTGTAAAATAAAAATTTCAGATATAATAAGTAAAAAAATGAATTGAATGAACTAATGACAATAGATATATCATCTTAGATTACTATTAATCTGCATAATCTATTTATAATAGTGCCATGATTATTGTAGGTTTTATGTAAAATACTTATGAAATAATTATTTTTTTATATAATTAGAATAAATGTTACAAGCTCTGATTTTTATGGTCAAACCGAACATTCAACTTTTCAGCTGAATCTGGACCAAATCGAAAAATCGAAAAATCGAATAGAACTCGAACCGAACATCAATTTTAATAATCTTTAGGCAAAACATTTATTATTATTATTATTGAACAAATTCTTGGTGATGTTTGATTATAATACTTCGATTTTCAAAACTATTTACAAGGAAAAAGTTCGGTTTGACTATTTTTAATTTAAAGCTTGATTTTCGAACTGAATCCGCTCCATGTTCTGTTCGGTTAAAATATCACTAATTAGTATAATCTGATCTAGTTTAAATGAAAAAAAAGTTATTATGTCAGCGTTAGTCTTATCATTGAATACAGAAATAAAATAATTATTTAGACTTATTATAGATAATACTTTGGTGGGACGTTTTAGATTATTATTATTGAATAATGATCTAATTAAGAAGATGACTGATCGAAAACATCTTGGAACCAGTATTTTGGAAAATATAAACAATTTCAAATTATGAGTGGAGATGAAAAATGGTGCTGCTATTTTTAAATAAACATTTCCAGGCCGTACTCACTCAGAAAAATTAATCAGTTTTACACTCTTTATTTCTAAATAAAGTGATAAAAATAAAAAAAAAATAATAAAAAAAAGGACACAAAAACCAGCTCAGAATCGAAGTATTTTGTCTGACTCACCGATAATTTTCTTAGTATCCTTATGTTTCAATTGGCTTCAAAACTATGGTGTAATAATTATTGTAGTTAAAAAACAAATTTTTAAAAATGTCTTTACTTGAAAGTTCTTATTTTTTTTTTTTTAAATTTTTTCTGGACGGCAATCAAAAATTGATTGAAAATACTTTAAAATTTAAAATTCCTTATTCAATTACATAAAAAAAAAAAAACTATAAAATGAAAGTTAATTTAAAAGAACCATCGCACAGTGGGATTGCGGCAAAATGTGGATGTGGCATAGTTGGGACAAGTTTAGATGATACCTGACATTGATTTTAATTACTGTCATTAGAAATACTACGATGCAAATCTGTAGATAGTGTTTAATTCTAAGAAATGGTGCATAATTACAAAAGCAAAATTAACTCCTATCTGCTTAATTATATCATTATTAGTAGTTCTTAGATTTATAAGTATAATTTATGAATAATATTTTTTATAGCAATTAAATATAGAATGAAATTAATATTTAATTATTTAATATTGTAATTTTTACGGAGAAATAATAAAAAATGATAAAGTAGTATATTTTGTTTCTTCTATGACAAACATGTATACAAATTAAAGGGTTTGATGCAATATTTTATAAAAAAATTTTTTTTTTATTTATGAATAAATACATTAGTCAAAGAACTCTCATCGGAATCAAAAATATACTTTTCTAAATTAACTTTTTGCACTGTTTTAAAATCTGAAATTAGACTTTTTCTATCACTTCTAAGTTTGGATATTATTACTAATTATTAAAAAATTAGTATTTACTTAAAAAAAAAAATAACTAAAATTATTTGGAGGTTATCCCCATTTAAGAGGAACGAGGGAATTTTTTCAATTTTTGAGGGTAATGTCTTCGACTGAATACGATTTGTGATCTTTTGACGTATCGTTGAAAGAAATCAATTCGGTGAGAGCTGAGAAAAAATGGTAACAGACACAAAAAAAACACATCATAGTAAAACCAATACCTTCTCAGCTTCACATCGAAGCTNAAAAAAAATAAAAAAAAAAATAAAAAAAAAAATAAACACATCATGGTAAAATTAATACCTTCTCAGCTTCGCATCGAAGCTAAAATATTAGTTAAAATGAAATTTAACAACACAACAGGGGACGAAATCATAGGTAAAACTAGTCATGGAATATTTCTGAAAATTAGTGTATTATAGTATACTACACACACAAAAAAAAAAGAAATCATAGTAAAATTAATACCTTCTCAGCTTCGCATCGAAACTAAAATAGTGTATCTTTAATTTCCTTAAAAAAAGAAAAAAAAATTTATGATTATTTTTTAAATCGATTCAATTTTTCGAACTATTTCTCGATATTTAATTTATGTAACTTCATCAAAGTTTAACAGAAATTAAGCTATTGAATCTAAGTAATTTTTTGTCACATAACCATAGCCGTAAGGTTGTAGCTAGGGAAGCTTATACCCCCTTAAAATTTAGCATAAATATATGCATTTTTATGTATAAATTATTATTTAGGAGGAGATAAAATGAAATTTAGCCACTCATGCACATAATTTTAATTAACAAAAAATAATTTAACTTATTTATTTTCACTTAAATTGATTTTAGAACTACCTAAAATGACACAAGACCAATTCTGTCAACAAATTAATAATTTATTATTAATGATTGATCAGACGAATGATGATTCTAATGTTAATCAATTAATCGACCAAGTAAAACTTTCTATTGAAAATATTATGAGATATCCATCAGGAATGGTTTATATTTTTGGATCAAGATCTTATGGATTGGCATCGTCTGACAGTGATGTAGACTTATATTTTGACTGTGGTAAATATGAACTTCATCTTGATGAAAATTGTAAAATTTTAGGATTTAATTAGTCAATTTTCTTTACATCTCTGACCTTTGAATGCGTAATAATATAAAGTATATAGGCGTTCACACGGAGTGGAAATGGGAGATAGAACCTCTACGATGAAAATAAATACATTGTGGAGATATATTTTAGAGAGGTTAAAAAAAATTCTTTTGTATATCACTTCTCCAAGAAAAACTATAAAAACATACTTTATAATGTTTTCATAGTATTTCTATCAGTTCATAAAAATCTAAATTATTTTTTTAATGATACGTTTTTAAAAAATAATTAGTCTTAAAAAGAATTGTTAACTTTTTTCAGGTGATTGTTTTTCTGGAAAAATTGCGTCCAATAGAGCCGCTCAATATCAGCTTATTGACTTATTTGCAAATATGGTTCAAGACAAGAAAGTTTTTTCTGAAATTTTAGTTCTTAAACATTTACATGTTCCCATCGTGCGATTTCGATACTTCAATCTAAAGTGTGACTTAATGTTTCGAAGTGGCTTAGCTGTACAAAGTTCTCGTCTTTTAAAGTTAGTATATTTTATAATTAAAGTTAAAAAGGTTTAATTTAACGAAATTAGTGAGTGTAAAACTTTGAAAATATCAATTATAGATAGTGAAATATAAATTAAACTAAATTATCTTTATTAAAATTTGAAAGAAATAATTAAATGAAAAAAAAAAGTTAACTATGACAAACAAAACCGTTTCGAAGCTAAAAATGATCAGAGAGGTTGAAGAAATTATTTTTATTGATTAATAATTTTGAAAAATTACCGACTAAAACGATTAAATATCACAATTTAATGGCTTTTGTCGGTAATGACTCTACCACACATCCTTTCAGAATTGCCTCATAAGTTTATGGTAATTTAAGATGTTCATTATTGATTATTGCTTAAAAATATATGTTAATTCCCATAAAAATTGGGTAGTGTATTGCGTGAAAAATCAGAGCTTAAGTAATTCTTTAGCATTAACTGATTTAGAAAAGAATACATTTTTTCTTCTCGCAAGTTTTTTTAAAAATTTTCTTGCGTTACAGAAATATTATTTCAACTCTTATTATAAAAAAGTGATAATTGACCAGTTATTTGCGATTTGTTTAAATATATTTTTGAATCAAATATAGTACCTATTATATTTGCTTTACTGTATAATTACAGATTATACTTGTCTAACAAAACTGTACGTTGGATTACTACCAGTGTTGTCAAACAATTCACTTTAGTAAATAAACTTGTAAGTGATAATTTATCAAGTTTCTCTATAATTTGGTTAGTATTGTTCGTTTTGATTCGCCAAAAAGTCATTCCTCCAGTTATTGAGTTATGGAAAACTTGCACCAGAATAGAACCATATTTTGTTGAAGGTATGTATCATTGTAACTTGTTACTATTTGTTCTGTTTTATCCTGTGTATAACTTTGTTAAATTTTTACTTATATTTAATTTCATTTATATTTTCAAAGAATTCAGTCAATGCCTCAACTTTGAATAACCGAATCTAAATTTTGTTAAAGGTTTTTATAAAGTGGGGCCTTGATCATTCCCCATTTCACTATCATTGCTTATTTATAATCTTTATGACTTTAGGATGGGATACAAGAATAGTTCAAGAAGAAAATGATGCCTCATTAATTTTTGGTAACTACAATTCTGATGTGAATAATTGGGATTTACTACGTAGTGTATTTGAATTTTACTCAGATACTTTTACATTAAAAAACTTTATATTATGTCCTATGTTTGGAGAGTTATTTAATAAGTCAACATTTAGTTCAGAATTTATAATAAAAAGCGATTCTGTCTTCAATTTTCGTTTACAATTAGAAACATTCAAACAAAATAAAACTATAAGTGAAGAGAACTTAAGAGATTATCACAAAATAATTCTACAAAATCCAATTAAATTGTGTAACAATGTTACTCCTTGGCTTACGGAAAAAAATATGGATATATTTATTGATATATGTACTAAATGCATGAAATCAATGTCTGTTATTTAAATAATATATAAGGTATGCAGACAAAATATCACCGATATAGTTGTTATTATAAGATGGCCAACGTTAAAATTTAACAAAAATAGATAGAGCGAAAATTTATGAGATATAATTTTGTAAGGGATATTATTAGGTAATACGACTTTATTACACGACGACAGTTGTGTAAAAATTCACGAGCCAACCACACATGGATTAAAAATATTAATAATCAAAAAAAGGTAAGTATAAACTTATCAATGATGGATACAGTTACACTAAATCACACACATTTTTCTAATACCTCAAAAATAGATGCAATTTAGTTTATGACAGTTTATTTATTTGCTATATTTTAACTTTCGCGATATTACAATGACAACTAAATTTTGTCCGGCGGTATTAGTGTTTCCTTATATTTTATCGGCGATATTTTTCTGTAATTCATATTAAATGGTATTTTATTAAAAATCTCAAAATATTTTTTACATTATACTTTTTTTTATTATTCAATACGTAAATACTACTGAATAGTCAACAATAGCGTTCAGACATACAGAGACGTCACTGAAGACTTTTTAACTAGATTATACTATAAAATAAGTTTTTGAATATCTACTGTTTATATAAGAATCAAATTTTAGTGAGTTATTTTTAGTCGTGTGCAAGTTTATTTTTATTGAAAACATATAAGATATATTAAAAATCAATGAATTTTTTTATTAGTTAAAAAAATATTTTTATGTATTTTATTGTTTTTGTAATAGAAGTCTCTATAATAAATAATAAAATTTTTGAATCAATGTTAAAAAATATCACAATTTAGTGAGGTTCGGACAAAGAGGGTTAAAAAATATAAATTTGGTGTTATGAGATTAAAATATTAAGAAAAAAATTCTTAACCATTTATATGAAGAGATAAGTCATAAAATTATTTTTCACATTAGTATTTACATGTGAAAATTAGGATTAAACATAAACTTTAAGTTTCAATTGTATTTTTCCAAAAGTTGCAATTTTACACTTATCTTCTTTTGATCGAACATCACAGACTTATAACGTTGTATGGAGTACTATGGGAATCAAAGTGTTTAGAATAGGTGTATATTATTTAAGAAATGCATATTTTTGATTTTTCGACAAATATTATATTATGACAAATGATGATCGGTTTATGATAAATCACTCGATTACTTGTAAAACAAATAAAATATAGAAAAAAAAGTTTTATTATTTTCAGTTGCATATCTTGATTTAGCAGCTATTTATTACTTTTTAAAAACATTTCATTTGAATTATTGGGTGATCAACTTTATTTTTTAAATGGCAACATACATATTAAATTAGTTTATAAAATAGAAAATGATAGAAAAATGAAGATGAGAGGTAGAAAGACAGTGGTGTATTAAAAATTTAAGAGCTCTGGGGCATTTTTTATTTGATGCTTCCCTAAAATTTTTTGTTAAGCTAAAAGTTATTTTTTAATTTACTATAAAAAAAATTCTAGGTACATCTCACTGCTAATAACTCTTAGATATTTCGCTTATCAATATATTTAGAATATGCTCAAACGTATTATTTTATATATTCAGGGTCGGACTAAGGTCAATATGGGCCTTGGATATATCCTACAAGGTAGGTTATACCTCGCGGGGGTATTCATAATTAAAAAAAAAATTGCAGAGGAACAGTATATATTTCCCTCAATGTAAAAATTTGTTTATAATATAATAAACATTAATAATTAATTTTTGAAGGAGCTTATTTATAAATTAGGAGACTGGATCCCTTAGTAGTGTTAGTGGATAGCTTATTTTAATAAAGTAATTAATTGATTTTTTCTATGAATACTCTATTTCAAAACCATAGACACAAACAATGTTAAAAATTCGTCTTAAAATTGTTAATTAGCACAGAAGTAATTTTGTTTGCTTAGCCTTCATTACAGTTTTTTCATTAATTTTTTCTGCTTTTTTGAGCAGAATTGTTTGAATTTCTCCAAAATATTTTTCTATGAATTATATTTTAAATAATATTTTTTTCTGTATATACAAAAGGTTAAATTGATAATATACTGAATGTGTTTAAAACTTCATTATATTAAACAGCAGACTCCATAAAAAATATAACAACTATCATTCATAAAAAATGCTTCCAGTAATAAAAATGCGATAAGTAATGAGTAATAACCTTATGATTATTTGATTGGTGATAATTTTTTGTTCTTATCTTAGTTTGTTATGATTGTACGAGTTAATCATATAATATTGTTAACATCGTTTTACCTTTGAACCATTTCGTTTTCTGTAAAAACCTTAACGACTAGATTCTTTTTTTTATGTTTGATTGCTAAGATAGGGGATCTTAAAATAAAATTACAAAATGGACAATAAAGATGATGAATTACCAGACAAAGATGCGGCAAAAGAATTTTACGCTCGATATGAACCTAAAGAAATACTAGGAAGGTTTGATTTTAATTATTCAACTATTCAATTTTTTGTTGATGTTTGTTTTAACCTTGAAACTAATTAAAAATTATTTTAGAGGAGTAAGTTCTACTGTTCGACGATGTATTGAAAAAGAAACTGGAATTGAATTTGCGGCAAAAATTATTGATCTTAGCAATGATCCTGAAAATAGAGAAGCAACTATGGAGGAAATTAATATTTTAAGAATGGTTATTGGACATGAATATATAAGTAAGTATTTTATGATTAAATGTGTAAATAATATAAAAACTTACATACAATTTTTAAAACACTTTGTTGATTGTCATTAAATTGCTTCTTAAAATTGTTATGTAATTGGTTATAATTTAGTGTTATGTATGCTTGTTAATTAATTTTTTTTTTATGATTATAATTACAGTTCATTTGCATGATGTGTTTGAATCAGAGACATTCATATTTTTAGTTTTTGAACTTTGCAGAAACGGAGAACTTTTTGATTATTTAACCAATGTAGTGACCTTGTCTGAAAAAAAAACAAGGTATATCATGAGACAGTTATTTGAAGCATTACAACATGTACACAATCAAGGAGTTGTTCATAGAGATATTAAACCTGAAAATATATTATTGGATGATGCTATGGATATAAAATTAACAGATTTTGGTTTTGCTAGTGTATTAAAGCCCGGACAACTACTTCGAGGTAAAACTAAGTCTATATTTATATTTTGAATGTGTATTAATTGATTAATTGTTTTTTTAGATTTATGTGGAACCCCTAATTATTTAGCTCCAGAAGTTTTAAGAGTCAATATGTTTGATGATGCTGAAGGATATGGATTCTCTTGTGATTTGTAAATTATAATTATGATTTAATACATTTTTTTCAAATCTATTCCTACTATATTTTTTATTTTGATGTGTTGATTTTAATTATAAAAAAAAGTTTAAATACAGGGTTATTCTTTAACTAAGTTTCATTTAATATCTTCATATGTATAAGATAATATATAATTGTTTTTTTTCGGAAGTTATTAGTATTCTACTCACTTAAATTAACAAAAAAAACTTTCGTTTTTTTATTTTTAATATATATTTTTTGTTAAAACTTTTGAAATAATGGTTCCAATATTGTAATTAATCAGCTAATTTCTTAGTTGAATTATTATTTTTTATCTGTAGCTAGTAATCGTGTAATATGTTTCATAACATATTATGTTTCCATTGAAAAAATTAAAAATAATACAATTCTAAGGGGATAAAATATAGTTTTGTATTAATTATAATGTATAAGATATTAATAACTTCTGCAAAAAAAGAAAATTACAATTTTACCTTATAATTTTGATGATATTGTATGGGACATAGTTGGTAAGTCAATCAGTATATCGTGTCAAATGTTGATAGTAATTTTTAAATTATTTATAGGTGGGCGTGTGGTGTAGTTATGTATACACTGTAAGTTTATAAATCTTAAAATGTGAAAACTGAAAAAAAATGGTTTTCAAGTATAATATTTTTACTATTTAGATTAATTGGTTGCCCTCCATTTTGGCATAGAAAACAAATGATTATGTTAAGAAATATAATGGAGGGAAAATATTCATTTGACTCTCCTGAATGGCAAGACATTTCTGGTAAAATAAAATAGTTAGTCCAAATTAGAATATAAAACTTTTAATAAGGCTTAACAATGTCATAATATAATAAATAAGTATTTATGTAATGTAGAAGCTCCTAAAGATCTAATTCGAAAACTCTTGGTATTAAATCCAAATGAGAGGTTTACCGTTGATGAAGCATTAGAACATCCCTTTTTCAATGTTAAAGTAAACTTTGATTTATCACTAATATTAACTTATTACCATGGATTAATTAATTCTTTTTTTATTAATCTAGATGTTTGATCAAGACATCGTACCACTTAAAAGAACTCTAAGTATGAAATCAACAAAATTTAATGAAATCTCCCAGCTTGCAAAACAAATTAAGGTTCGACCTTTCAATGCTCGAAAGAAGTTTCTATATGCAATTCTAGTTGTTCGAGTTATAATAAGATTAATTCATTTATTACCTTGCTCAACTGGTAAAATATCTGTGACTTTGGCAAAGCAAGACCCCTATAGACATAAAATTCTAAGAAAAGTAAGCTCTTGTTGTAATTTAATTTAAAATATTAAAAACTTGACCAGGAAGTGACATTTACTATCACATAGTTTTATTAAAGATTATTATTATAATTCCTTAACTTTTTTTACACTTCACAATTTGTTTTATTCATTTATGTTCTATATTATTCTATTATTTAATTTAAGTTCCAAATATTTTGTTAATTAACTTGATAACAGGCATTATATTTTTGATTTGATTTATACATAAAGGAAATATTCATTATATATTTAAGCATACAATTATTATATGTATACTAAATTTTGTACATTTTTCAGCTTATTGATGCTATGGCATTCAGGGTTTATGGTCATTGGATTAAAAAAGGCGAAGGTCAAAACAGGGCAGCCCTTTTTGAAAATATACATAAGACTGAACTAAAAGCTATATATATTAGTAATTTGTCTCCATCAGTGTAGATAGATTGAAATGTTTTGCTTCTATTTTGTTGGACATTTTTTGAAGTACTCTAAGAAAATCTTGAGTTACTGTGCTTCTATAATAGATATATTTGAAAGCGTTATTTTTTTTTCTGTAAAACATTATTTTTCTTTGTATTACTGAAAACTGCGTTTTTAAAGTTTTATTTAAATTACTAGTCAATTAGATGTATATTTTTTGTGTTCATATTTTAAAAATAGTTAATTTTTCTTTAAACTAACCTAATTATTATTAGTTACCTTATTAGCTTACAAATATTTTTATGTAGTTATTTTTTGTTGATCTAGCCATAATAATAATAATAAAAAAAAATTTTAAATATAGAAAAAAATTTGTTTATTATTATACTTGTTTAAATCTAGGTATAATACATAATTTAATTAATTTATGTATGTATTTTCTAAAATTTAAAAAAATTAAAACATTTGTTAATCGATCAATTATTAGGTAATTTCACTACTCTATTATAATTTTTTCGATATAATAGAATCATTATTTTATTCCTTTTATTTAAATGAAAGACAATATATTTTTTACACGCCTGAAGTAGTTATTGATGTATTTAATGGGGTAACATAGATAAAATAGAAATTTTACCAGTAGTTATATATCGTCAAGATGCCTTATTTACACTACACCTGTAAAAACCAAAAAATTAATCTTAAATAATTACACTAATTATACAAAAACGTACAGTCTATGGTAACTATAATTTTAGTTTCAATTTTATTTAAAAGATATAAAAATATAAGTAATTTTTATCTTCACTTGTAAATAAAATCATTACAAACGTAATTTATAAGTTTAAAATATTAAATTGGAGGGTTATAGATCCCTCCTAATATTAGTATGGGGTAAAAATTGAAAATATTGATATTAAATTTTTGATCTGTATTTACATTATCAGAATTTTTTACTTTAAAATACATGGTAATAAAATATTTTACATTTCCCACACTCTCTAAGCAATTAATATAAAATATGTTTAAATTATATTACGATACTGTTCTAATTAGTTGCTACATAAAAATGTTCAATTCGCACTATCTTGAAAAAAAGTACTCCTTTTTTTGGCAATGGATCTTTATAATAATTCTATTTTTAGCGATTTGGAAAAGAATTTATTTAATTCAAATCTATTCATCTCTTACTCAGTATCTCCTCGACCCAATTGACGGTCATTGACTGTACTTTACCATGTATTGTTTACTTCAGATGTCCCCTAAAATTTAAGCCCTCGTGACATTACCCATAGACTCTAGTCCAGTACTCTCTCTTTTTTTTATCTATGTAATAATATTACAAGTTACTCACACATTGCCAATTTTACTGGAGCGCGCGCAAAAATTAAACGTTGCCAATTCGGTTTCAATGAACGTACAGTTGAAGTTCTTAATGCAACGCAAATAGTAGTGGGAGTTACTCTTGAAGAATCAGTGAGCAGCAAAAACAATAGAGAAATTTTGAACATAGTTCATATTAGACCGACACATTATACAATGTAAATACCATAAATGTTCGGTGACAACTAGTATTGGTTGAGAGTTAGAGAGAATACCTAAGAACATATTAGCGTATTTTTCGAAAAAACTTAGGATTTTCATAAAGTTGTGTTGCTATTATTAGAAGAATACTTCAAAAGAAAAAAGTACGTTTCGTGTAATACCAAAACAGGTACGGCACAAAGCCCGCGCTTTGCCGTGCACGTTGGTAGGTGATTGGATCGCGCATGTGTTGACGGTGTCGTGCCGTGTGTACGTTATAATTGTACTTGCAAGTACGATTCAATACGGCCACCACCGCACCGCGCTGCTCTAGGCCACGCCTATCCTGTGGACTTGTACGCGTTGGATTGGACGGCGGCCCGGACACGTGAGCAACCGCCAGCGTGAAGCGCCCGGGCCCCGNCCGGCCCCCCCCGCCGATCATTTCGGCTCGCGAAAATCCTACGCATACCACGTAACCTGCCGCGCACCCGGCACCATACAGCCAGTAAGCTCCGACCGCCGACGACGGTATTGTGTTATTCCCAATCGGAGCGTCCGTTATAATTTGTATTTGTTATTATTATTATAAATCTAAAGGTTTTACGCCTCTTTTAGGCGTTGTCACTTGAGTTTTTCGTTGTTCTATCGACTGTTTGAATATTTTCCCTACTAGCATTGGCTACATTATTTTTTTCCACTATCGGTAAATAATCAGTTAGCAGTGCCGTTTTTAAAAATCGTTCGAACATGAAACGCCCGCGACGAGAGTGACTCGGCACGGCAGGGCGTCTCGCGATTGTGTAAATGGTGTTAGCGTTCAGGGTACTGTGATATGTTTGCGGTTGACACGTGGACGACGTCGGAGGAGGTGGCTTGCCTGGGCCAGCATGAGCATGAGATGCGGGCTACAGACACTGCTTGAGGCCGCCCGATTTGTCGAATTGCAAGAGGAGTTCGAGAAACAACAGTTGGTCACTTTACACGCAGCTGGTAATTATTCCGTTATAATTAATACGAGTAGAGAAATTAAACGCGTGTACCCGTTGTAGGTAAGTCGGCAGATAAAAAAAAAATTACAGTCACCCTTACGTTGGGGGGATGCACTGCGTTTTGCCGTGGCGTTTCGTGGTAGGGTAGTAACGTTAATTTTTGAGGGTGGAGGGAGAAGATTCCGTGTTCGGATAGAGAGCGGGCGTGGCAGGGCGCAACTGTATTTGTAGAATGACCTTCGTTGTCCTCTCTCTCGCAACGTGCGCTACGATGTGGCCGGCCGGCCGTCGCCGTTGCCAGAGTGTGGATTCCAATATGCGCGCTCGAAGATACTAGTATCCTGAAGGTCACGTGCTGCGGGAAAACTCGCCCTTCTCCCTACGCACCGCTTGGCCTGTCGTCCACCTCCTGGCGGCCCACACGCTGCCGCCGCATGAGTGAGTGTATACATATGCCACATGGCTCCCCCCTACTTTTTGTAAATTTCGCTACTGTTCTAAAACAATATATATGATCCTACAGCGATCCGCATCAAAAATAAGTATATCAAAAGTTATTAATTAATTTTGTACTTGTAAAAAAAAAAAAATCGAATTTATAAACTCCGGATTAGCGCAACAGCGGCAATAGTGACTATAATGATGCCGCGACGTTGGCCATCCTGGCGCTAGCACACGGTCGACCACGTGGAGTATGTACTTTCCCCGCCATCGTTCCCGTCACTGATGTGCGATTTTTTTTACGTTGTTTTTATTTTTCTCTCCGCACGCGGCCTCCCGCCCCGTTCTCTCTTAGTGTTGTGCGCGTACGAGTGTATATGTGCACGCGGCGCGTCAGATCGATTCGGGACGGAAACAATTGTTGGCGTTTTTTGATATTATTTTTAACGATCTACGACCGGTTTTAGAATAATTATTGTAATATAATGTTTCGTTTGAGTTCACTGGTGGGAGGCCAGGGGTTTTTTAGCTGATGTATATTGCGCAAGTTGATAGAATCTCGATTCTAGATGTTGTGACCACAACAGTCGTTAAATAATTTCTAATCGCATCGTGGTTGGCGAGACTGGATTTGCTCAAATGAGGTTCCACGAGATTTTCCCCCCTTGGTTATTTAGATTCCATGTTGATGAGTTTAGAATGAGTTCTTTTGAATAGGATGAAATACACTCTGTTGAGAAGGAATAGTCAATGTTATTGTTGTTCTGGCGTATAATTTGCCTAGAAAATGATGTTGTTGATAAAATATATAAACTTAAATAAAATATAAATATGTAGGTGACATAGTAATCTATGGGGTGCAATTGAACGTTAATTATCCATAATACTGTCATGAAATGTAAATAAATGACTAATATTTGTTTACTATAAAAAAAAATGTGGCCCCAATAAAATTATGATGATAGAACTAAAAACTAAACACTTATGACATTCTTAGTTATCAATCCTTTTACGATTCTATTTTTATATTTTTTCACTTTTTATTAGGTTATAATTCATATTATATTCTTAGATTATATAGTCGTTGTATATAATATATAGTATGTATACAATTATATATCTTTGTATAATTGTAAACATTATGTATTTTACAGTATTTTTATTTTAGTTGGTTTTTTCTTTTTCTTTTTTTTAAACAAACAATATTAATTAAGTTAATATGTTCACGGTATGCTATAAATAAAAAACAAATTTTTGAAGAAAAAAAAAACATCCGCTTTATGACGCTTATATCCCGTATGTGGTACATGGTCTTTTATTTGCATTTGTATTGTTTTAAAAAACAAATGTTGACAATTCTATTTTATGTTTTGACAGAAGTAACCATAATAACGTCTGTTTGATTTTACTTTAATTCATTTGGGGCCGAGTTAATGTGAGTTTTATATTAGGTAAAGTGGATTTGAATTATAATATCGTTCTATGAATTGATAACATTTTTTATTTTTATATTAACTTAATATTAAAATAATAATATATAAGTAATAAGACATGTTTTATAAAATTTCTAATTGCGTGGGAGTCGTAATTTTGAACATTCCCAGTGTTCATTATTTAGCAAATAAAATGTTATTTACATAACTTTTCACCAAAACTCTTTATTTTTAATTTACATTTAATTCTTAAAATACCATAAACTTTGTGTTAATTTTTGAAAACACTAGTTTACGGCAATTTTATATTTTTTTCCCCGTGACCTTAGATCTTTGAACTCGCTGGTTACTTTATATCCACACATTTTTTATGAACGTAGAGCCAGGTATTACTCGGTATATTAAAAAGCTTTAGCGCATGTCAATAGAACTGTAGCTCGTGGAAAACCTAGTTTTAGTCGTCATGCTGTAATTCTCGTAAACGGCACTGAACTTATATATTTAGGATTATCTATTAACGCTTCCAAGATAAAATTAATTAATTGTCTTTTAATAATATATTAATTTCTAAAATTGTTTACAATTTCTTTGACGATAATGATTTTACTAATGCTTTTTTTTCGATAATAATACAAAAACTGGGGAAAATTATTAAAGCCTGAATTCTTTAATATCGTTAATTTTTATCACGACTATAAATATTTTATAGCAAATTCACTCTTCATAATTATTTATATTTTCGTCCAGTGTTTTAGGGCACTTTACAAGTCACTCGTATTTAATTAAACTCGTATGGAATACTTCCTGTAATTCATAATTATACTAAATAATGTGATAATTAATACTTACTTAATCGCTGATAGTGTTATTTTTTTGTAAGGCCGCGAAATGTTTAAAAACTGACTACTTTGGTCAATAGATGGGTTTTAAATGTTTTACTAAATCAATTAAACGTCACCAAATGGTTTTTGTTTTAGAACATTTCCATCGATTTCTGTCATAGTTGAACAATTTGTTTTTGTGTCTCAAATACGTGGTAAACAATAATGAAATCATTTTTTAAATGTTATTTTAAAAATCGAAATGTTTAAACGTTTATGCATTTTTTAAATTGGTAATGTTGCATAATTATATTCAAATTCGATATATTTTACGTTAGAGTACATAGGTAAAAATTAAATAACTATTGACTAGACGATACTATGTGAGCTTCGTTGTAGAGGGTGAAAGTTGATGTATGTGGTTTTGTACATCATTTTTCTTTTTACTGTAATATATGTTTATTTACTAAATGAAAACTATATGTTTATAGTAATTGTTTAGTATATATTTATATATAAATAACTACAGTGTTAATAATTTATGAATTATAATTAGATGATTTGTCTTCGTAAAGGTGAACGTAATGAGACTTTTGTGCATTGTTTTATAAGAATAGAAAATTGGTGGATTTATTTTATTTTAATGTTTTTTAATTTTGAATTAAGCTCAATCGAATAATTGTATAATGTATTCTTCTATTATTAATTATAATTTGTTTTCACACACAACATATTTAGCTTTTATTATTTGATTTATTTTAATTTATCGAGAAAAAAATGTATTTTAAACATTTATCAGATAATTTTTATGGCATGGCTGCTGTCTTCATCGATTATCTATCGGTGAAGTATTGACGTTCAGTAATGTCACAAGACTGTAACAGCAGTTACTGTGCAGTTCATTTTCAATGCGTTTAATACTTAGCGACCAATTTTTGCTTTGTTATTTCTATTGTCTTTAAAGGTTATTTTTTTTTTTTGGACGCTTTAAATTTTCAAAAAGAAAAAAGTTATTTTTAGTCTGTTTGAAATTGCATAACAATCATCGTTCGTTAATTTCTAAAACAATATAATAAGTAAAGTGTAATTAAAATAGTGTTTTTTTTCTAACTAGTCATTAGAAAGCTAATGAACGTCGTCGTTACGCGAGCTGTTTTAGTTGTAGGAAACATTAGTCAACGTTGTGCGCGGGGCGGCGTGGCCACGTTTGTTTTGCGGACATTGTGGCGGGAGTAGGGGTTACTGTGCACGACGAAGCACATGGGCTCGATTATTGTTGTTGCGCATGTACCGCCGCTGTCAGGCCGACAACAGCCCGCGACGTAACTCTTAGCACAACACAACACGTTGTCGTCTACTACTTGCTAGCAGTAGTTTGTGGCGGCGGCGGTGGCATTGCTCAGCAGTAGAGCGCCCGGCTAGCGTACACTGAGCCGTTGCCGGGATTTTGAGTAATCAATGCGATGTTGCCGATGTGTGCTGGGAGGCCGCCGCCGCCACCACTGCGTACGAAATCGGCAACCGTTGAATCGTGACCGTTCTTTACGTTTAATAATATAATAGTAACTCGTTTGTTCTAACTTCTAGAAACACGTCAGGCCACCAACTAGTGGAAACTCAACAATATGTCATGTTATTTTTTCATTGGTTGGTCGTCAACTGCGGGATGGACAGCAAGTTGTAGTCTCCTTTTAGCAGTCGGTTTTTGAACTAGTAGAAACAGTCTATGAGGGGCATACGTGGGCAGAAAACTGGTTGGGGCAAATTGGACAGATGAACTGTGGTTTGACAGTTCAGGCAGAAAATTGGAATCGTTCATTGCCTGTAAAAACTTGGACAGTTAGGATTTCTATTGTTGAATACGATACTAAGCAAATTAAATAGGCCGAGGTTTTGGTAGTCACGTTTTTTTTTTTTTTTTTTTTTAAAGAAATAATTGTCTGCATTCAGTTTATCTTTGGGTAAAAGTTTTTTTAGAAATGACTTAGGCGTTTCGCCAATTGGCTTGGTTTGATTACGCGGTTTTCAGTTGAAGTTGGTAAATCGTTGGCATTTTCCGCATATTAAAAAATTGTTGGTGTTTTACTTGTCAATTGTTTTGACAAAATTCCAATCATTATCGATGCTCAGCTCTTGGTACATGAAAAATTACGAAAATAATACTACAATTACTTAGTTGTTACATTGTGTACGTTGTTTCGGTGTTCCATCAACGTCGCCCGTATTAATAAATTCTAAGGGGCCTATATATCATCATAACAAATAATAGTAATAAAAATAACAATCGCGTTACTATATGGGTGTAT